TCCTTCCTCTCCACACTCTGGCCACAGCAGCCTGTTTTGACCTACCAACACTTGCCACAACACAGACAAGATTGAGGAAATCTTAAATATGCTTGAAGTACCTTAAATGTAGGTGAAGTGTGCTCGTGTTGTCATAAGTTGTTTTTGTTTCTCTTTTTCTTTGAGCTGTTTTGGGATGTCTCACTCCCAATTCAGACCTCCGACTGATGGCAACGCCCCTTCTCCCGGGCGTAGTGCTTGGGATGATGCCTGGGCAGCAGATCTGTGCTGGGGTTAGAGCTGTCGCTTCCTCGCACATCCGGACATTCTGTTTGCTTTGGCACGAGGAGCCAGGCAGTGCTGAGATTGCCAGCTGTAGTTCATCCTGCACTCCCATGTCTACTCCCAGTCAAACGATGGACGTCCTCGTTGCATTGCGATTGTCCCTATTTTTAGCATTAATTTGCAACCTTCTGCTTTAATGCTTTTGCCTATACTCTGTTGTCTCTCAGAAAATTCAGTTTCCTCTCGCTCGTAGCCGTAGCTCATTTTTTCTCTCTTTAACATTGCAGCCCAATGTCTCCAATGAATAAAGGTGTTATATCAAATGCAAGGATTATTTATTTAAAGTAAAGTTCAGCCTGCAAATCTGAGGCACCGTTGATTCTTGATTCTTCCCCCTGATTTAAATATAATTTTTATGAAAAGACCTTCTTTAGAATCAGTAAATGAAATAATAACAGTGTAGTGTTTTGAGATGTTTCAAAGTATTAAAGCGCTATGAAATACACATTCTTCTTTTCTGGGCCTCTTCAAGTAGCTGAGTTAAAGTCCGCTCCTGCTCCCACTTCCACTTCCTTCTCACCCAATCTCGGCAATCAAGTGGGGCCAGGGGACCAGTTCTGACTACACCGAGGCACTGCCTGGATGCAGATAAATTCTCGCACAATCTCTCTAACTCTGTTGCCAGGTTTCATCTCTCCGCTCCCTCAAGTGTGTGATCAATGTGATCTAATCTCTCAGAGACTTCCATTCATTAAAAGCTACGTTTTCTCGGGATCCTTAACTTTGCTTATCTCACATGCTCTTACATTTTCTTGTCCTTAAAGCCTGCAAGAATTGAAGGAACATTAAATTGCATTCATGCTGTGATCTGGGGACTGTATCTCACCCAAAATCTCATCTAATCCTTCAGGGATGTATTACCTGTATATGTGTGTGTTTGTGCGTGTGCGTGCGCAGGGATATGGTACGTGTGGTCACTCTTGTGAGCGCATCAAGGGTTTGAAAGTTGATTGATCTAAACGTGGAATATGTGTAAACGCTGCGAGGAGATTTGATGCTTTCTGCACTGGGTACGGTTGCTGCGCTGGTGTTGCTATGGAGATGACCTCTTTCCTGGGTGCGATTGAAGATGTTGGATTGCAGAAAGCAGTTTCTGAAAAGAATTTGTAGAGAACAATGTGAGATGGGGGGGTGGGGGCGCGGGTGGCGGAGGGCAGGGTGCGGCCCTGCCTCTTTATTGGCCGGGACAGTGTGGACCGACAGTGTTCTGGGAGAGTTGGGAGAATAGGAGGACGTACCAGGAACCAATGTAACACACCTTGATAATACTGGAGTGTGGGTGTACACAGTTCTATTATGTGTGTTCTCAAATGAATGTAATACTGTATATCTATCCTGGTCCTCTATATGCTGCTGTGCACGTTTAAAATGAGAAATACGACAGTTTGAAGTGCGATCGGAAAATATCTCTTCACACACAAGGCTGTAAGAACGTGGAATATATTGCCCAGAAGGTAATGAAGAATCAATTAGGATGTTTAAAAGGGAGATACAGACTCCCATTATAATGCAAGCACCCTCTTATCTAATGGGTGGCCTGTGGGACCCATGATTGGCTTCTGGCATTGACTGACTGGCTTCTGAAGTGCTAAAAAATGGTCAGGTTACCACTGACATCACTTTTGATGTGCTGAGCATGGGCAATATGTGCAGGTACCACTGATGTTATTTCATAAAGGATGGGACCAGGATGACTGAGCTATAACTGGGTTATCATAGACAGGTACATGGAAAGTAAGGCTATTATGAGGCACGGAGAAACAGTTGGAAAACAGAATTAGCCTCCTCCTATTCCCATGTTTCGGCTTGTTCAAAATTTTGTTCCATTAATCCAGGTAAAATGCCACTGAAAATCCTATTAACATTTAACAACCGCAGACAGTACAGTTATTATCACACACATTCTTGGTCTTGCTACCCCGTGACAGGAAGCTTACAGTAATATAGTGTCAGGCATGGCCAGTGTTCATTGCAGTACATCAGAGACCTATAAATCTTAAACCCATCAAATTGGCCTAAATTCAGCGATTGGGGAACTGGCTGGACCTAGAATCCGGTTGTTGAATTTCAGTGTTGCTCATAGATGCAGTTTTCCTCTGCCATGATTTTGCAAGATTTCTGATGAATAAATGTTTTGTTAAAGTGGTTACCAGCAGAGTCACCACAAAACAAACACGTGCTTGGCAGCACTGAGATGATTTGAAAAATGGCTGTGTGCTTTATTTAGGGTGGGGGTGGGGGGGGTGGGAATTAAGCAGCATGGGAGCTGCTGGAGCCTCATTGTATATTCAGAGTAACAGAGCCAGTAATGAAGCTGGCTGGACTCCAAAGGAGAGTGTGGAGATTCCACCCACCAGTGGCAGTGTGACCACATTCATACAGAGCAGTTGCACCAGCTGGGATTGAATTCATGCTCAAGATAATCCTGCTTCTCATTTGGTCCGAACTCCAGGTCCAGTTCACTCTGATTATTAACACTCTCATTTCTTCGGTGACCGTCTTCTCTATCCTCACTGTGTCCGAGGGTAGAATAGAAGAGACCCAATCAGTGCTTGGTTAGAAACACATTTCCCCGTCATCGCTCTTCTGTGTCTGCTGATTAGAGTACATTGTGCCGTACAGGAACTCTCCACAAATGCAGATTGAGGGACTATTTCAGAAATGTACATGACATTCAGATTGCTGCTGGGCTGTGGTGGTGGGTAGGTGGGTGCGGGAAATGTATGAGATTTAACAGGTGGGTGGGGCGGGGGTGAATGCATGTATGTTTAATTGGGGGGTATTTTAACATTATTTGCAATAAAAAATTATTGCCATCTTTATAATTTCTATGTTAGGTAAGACCTACCCAACAACAACTTGTAGTTATATAGCGCCTTTCACATGGGACCCTGAGTCCTGCATCTGCCGGTTAACGTACATTGTGCCTAAGGCATGTGGCTCAATATTTCTTCTTTGTTGAGGGGCGTTCTCTCCTTGTTACTCTTTTCTCCCACCCGAAGGGCCTTGGCTGAGATTGTCAGTCGGGTATTTTGTCATGTTTCATGAGAATGGGCTGGGCGACTTTTTCAGCGATCTCTCTTTTCGAAAGCACAAGTCCTGAGCTGAAATTGATCGTTCTTCCCATCCCCGTGACCTGCTTGAGCTCCTGGGTGATTGACAGGTTTCTGCATTATTTACTGGGAACTGAGTTGTTGGATGGAGCAGTTAAGCAGATCTGCACCACACAGCCTGGTGCTGGCTGTAATGGCTTCTTTTGTACTTACAATGCTGTACAATCCTGGCCTCATATTCGCATTTGATTCCCAGAGTAGGATGTGTTGTGTGGTAATTCAAAACAGAGGGATGCCATGTGCCAGATATCCAGATCTCTGGAGCCTTTACAAATCCCATGTGAGATTTTGAATCATTCATTTAAATAGGCCCAAAAATATTATCATGGGATCAGCTGTTTGTCAAAGCCTAAGGTGGTAGTGCGTCCCGCGGGGTGGGCGTTGCTTGCTGCTGTGGGAGTTGGAGGGGAGGCTACTCTTGTAGAATAGTGTCACACAGTCCACTGATCCACTACATCTATACTTTGCATTCTCCACGGGTAGCCAGGGTGGCCATACAATCAGAAAGCTGCATAGTCCTGTTACCCAACTGCAAGCCCAAATACCTGGCACATTAAAATAACTCAGGCACCAGCTTGTATAGAAGCATCACGTCCTCTTCAGTAAAGTTGTCTTCTTCTGGTACCAGATTCAGACTCTGGAATGCAGCAGAGCCTGAAATCCACAGTTATTCGGACCAACCCCAACAACAACAACTTGCATTTATATAACACCCTTCACGTGGGTAGTGTCCCGGAGCACTTTGCTGATATAAAGTGATATGAAACCCCATTGCTGATAAGAAATGAGAAATGATAATTGGTTTGTGTGTGTGTGTGTGTTTTTCTGTCCTATCTTTAAGTTCTCCACTTTGTGCTGTTGGTTTGTCCTCCTTTATGGCAATCGTGGCTACCTTTTTTTTAAAAAAAAAACTCCCTGATACTGTAGAATAACTTAAGTTCTACATTGGAGTCTGTGGACAAGTAAATACTTGACTTTCTACTGTAAGTTCCCCTTGTTGGCTTTGTGATTAAAGGCATTACCTTGTGTGTAACTGAGCTGCACCCATCAGGCAGGACTCTGGTTCAATCCCCAGTGTTGAGTTACTAGAGATTTCAGCTGGAGTAGCATTTGAGATGCTGCTATTGATTTGAGTACTCCTCATGTTTCAGCTTCTGTGACTGACCCCTCCCTCCCCCCCCCCTTTTTTTTTCAGGTGTGTGGACTTTAGGAAAGAGCAAGAACAGGTTCCGATATGTGCCCCCCACATCCATTATCAAATAACCTCTGACACTTACTCACTAAGTTTGCATGTAGAAATTGGGCATACTCCTTGACACGTCAGTACCTCCAGGACTGAAGGAGGTAAAATTCTAACAGGTTTATACTGGGTTGGATGTTCATGAATCCGACCAATGGATTTGCTGCAATAGTACCTTTGGAGAACGTCTGCCCTGCCTCGGTTACTTTACTGGTGAATATAGGAGCACTTCTCAGTTGGTGTCATCTTTGGCGTGTATCTGGAAAAAAATGATTGGTAACTTTTTTCTTCTCTCTCCACCTCCCCCTCACTCAACCTCCCAGGTCTTCCTCGGTTCAGCAGTCAGCCCGAAGCGATCTCCGTGCACCAGGGAGACAGCACCCTTCTGAACTGTGAAGTAAACGCCGACCTCGGTCCCTTTGTGAGGTGGGAGCAGAACCGCCAGCCCGTGGCGCTGGAAGGGAGGTTTCTGAAGCTGCCCAACGGAGCTCTGGAGATCAGCAATGTCTCAGACAGTGTGGCTGGATCATACCGTTGCGTTGTGGAGACCCCTGGTTCATCCAAAATCAGCGAGGAAGCACAGCTTGACGTTTTACCCGGTAATTCACCATCGATTGACGTGATTCTTGCCTACAAATACAGCCTGCACTTGCCTCAAATGAAGTGGTTTGCCTACAAATACAGTTATTTCAAAGGTGTTTTGAGGTGTTGCAATGTTACAGGCGTGCCATTAAATACAAGGATTACTACTATTATTTCAGACCCAAATTAATAATCTTTGATGCTGTTAATTGGGATATTAATTGAGATTTGCATAACTCCACTGTGAGAGTTACAATGATAGTAATCATCCTTCCCTTTGGTATAATGGCTCTAAAGGTTGTGAATTGATTCATTGCTGTTCTGCCTGAGGATACTGGTGGTTACGGATGTTAAGAGTGGAAGATGTAGGAACGTTTAGTTTTAGTAACTCACTCATTGAAGTTCTTTTTTTTCTGCAGATATGGGCATGGAGCGAAAGCTACTGTTTCTTCAACATCCTGTCTCTGTGAACAAACTTACAGGTCAGACAGTAATATTACCATGTGTTGTCTCTGGTTATCCAACACCCACCATTACTTGGACCAGGAATGAGGAAAGCATCACAGAAAGGTCTGTACATTGTTTCCATTTGTGTTGGGGTATAGATCTGGGGGGAGAGAAGAATGTATGTGTTTGTGGGGAGGGGGGAAGGTGTGTGTGTGTGGTATGGGAATAGGTTGGAGGGGTAGGGGTTGGAGATGTATGTGTGAAGGGTCATCTGACTGAGCGTGAAGGTTTATAGAAGAGCAAGCAGTGAGTGGTAAGTTGGCAATCTAGAGATTTTATCTTTTCTAAAGCACTTGATAGATATCTGTAATCATTCTTGTTTAATGTTACTTATGTTTCACATTGTCTACAAAGTCAGCTCCTTAATCATATCCATCAGGGCACCTATATGTATCAACAACAATAAAATGACATTTGTATAGCGCCTTTCACGTCGGGAGGACGTCCCAAGGCTCTGAACAGTCCAGTGTTTCGGATCTGAGATGGGGGTCGGGATCGGGGAGGATGGAAGGCAGGGGCGAAGGAGGGTGACTGAAGGCACGGTTGAATAGGAGGGTCTTGAGACTAGTCTTCAAGGAGACTGGTCTTAGGGAGGCCGACAAGCAGGGAGTTTGCATAGTCGAGCCTGGATTATACAATCATAAATGCGGGTATGAGGGTCTTGGCGGCCTGCGGTGCAAGACAGTGGTGGAGCCCAGCGATATGGTGGAGATAGGGGAAAGGCAGAAAGGGTCATGGCACGGATGTGGGGTAGAAAGGATAGTTGAATGTCAAACAAGGTTTGGTATACTGGCTTAGTACTTAGTACTCATACTGGCTTAGTATGGTGGTGTGTGAATCCTTGGATGGTGATACTGTGAGTGCCTGAGGTGTGGAAGTGCTTGGTTTTCATGTGATTCCCAATCTCATCATAGTTCTAAGTTGCAGTATTCTCCTACAACAACGTGTAGACCATGTGACAGACCTAGCCTAACCCCCAGATGTTTTAGTATGATTGTTATTAACTGTACGTTAGCTCCACTCCTTAACTCTGGTTGTCTCAGAATCCTCTCTGGCTCTCCTGCGATTATGTCAGCACTCACCTTTAATGAAACATATCAAACAAATAAGACAGATATTAAAGTTAATGAGAATCCTTTGTAATTCAACAGCGTATAAATGTTTGATTAACTAGTAACTTTTGGTTAGATCACATCAGTTAGGTCTTTAAGGGTAGATGTATCAGAGTACTTTCTCTGACAGGACGACTGCTCGGTACCTGGGTCTCTGATACAGCTGCTGGTCATTCTTAATTGGAATAGATGAGGCAGAACAGCTTTTGGCCACTTTAAAGTCAGAGATGAGGAATCATTTCTTGAACTCAACAAGAGAAGTCCTAGTCAGTGACTTGAGCAGTTGGATCTACCATGGTCCGAAGGCTCTCAGCTTTAGAACGCTTGTTAAAAGTATTTCTCCAACTTGTAACACAATAGGAAAGAGCTCAGTAAATAATGGGCTACTTACCCTCCACTACCAGAGCTAGAACAGGTTTTCAATGAGAGCACGGAAGGTTAAGGGGCGACCTGATGGAAGACTTTGTGATTATGTACAGAAATAGATTTTCACTGTTCAAATTAACACAAAGACAGCACAAATTTAAGATTATCTTAAAACACAGGAGATTGGAAAATATTTCTTTACACAGAGTAGGAGTGTAGAATTCTCTACCACAAACTGTTAAGGCAGAGTCTATAAATTCTCTTAATAAGTTATTCAGAAGTTACTGGACGAGGAGGAAGGGTGAAGGGAGTGAGCAGAAGAGTGGGATTGGACTCCGTGGTTTATGCAGAGAATACCACCAGTGCAGATTTCATGGCTCAAGTGACCTTGCTGTGACATCCTATGATTCTAGGAGCGAGATCCCAACATCAGTCTATATTGTCTGAAGAGTGGGGCAGAAAGAGTAGAATGAAAGTGCAAGAAAACAACAGTAGGCGAAGGGTTGGCTGAAAGCTGAACCATTTGGATTGGAGTGTTTTTCCATGTTGGCACAGGGCTGAGGTAATGACTGTGTCCCAAAGCCAGACAGACACTGATTGTAAGGTCAGAGCTCTTGACGTAGATTATCATACTCATGGGTGGGGATTGGGGGAGTTTCAGCTGCTTTAGATGTTACTGGAAACCACATAAACAGGGAATCTATCAGATAAACGCTTAAAAAAAGTGATTTATGACAGCTTTCTGGTGGAAATGTGTGTGATTTACTGCGAGTCAGTAGAGTGATAAATTGTGCTGGAACTAAGCTAATAAAGTGTAGATATCTTGGGTGTTAGGAGATGGCAAATAAAGATTGTTTTCCAATCAAACTCTGGCTGCTCACTGCACACACGTGTCTATGTTTGTAATCCAGTCGTCAGGAGTCACGCTTGTAAAGTGCAGAGCAATCTTAATGGGTCAGGGAGACTGGCTGGTGTGCAGACACTATACGTTAATGTCTGCTTATTGCTCAGCCTGAACACAGGTCCTGCAGATCTGGTGTGTCGCCAGCCACCTTGTAATACGAGACAAACTAAATAAATGCAGAATGTGTAATGTGCACGGATTTAGACTATTAACTCCACAGTATGTTAGTTTTACGTTTGTCATACATTGTGCTGCTCTGTGCGGTGTGCATAATACTCTTGTTTCTCTGGCCCCTGGCCTCTAACCGCCTCCTTGCACAGATAATGAGTCCCAGCTTTCTGGCAGGACTCTCTCTTCTCCTACCCCTTACTGGCTACAGTCTCCAGTTGACATTTTTTAGCTGGGAGTCACATTGAGATCTGGTTGAAAGGCTGTATTTAGACAATTTGTGCACTGCCCTGTCTGTAACTAACCCCTGAGAACATGCATCAGAATATCTGCATATGGGGACAAAGTGCCACGTAGAATATGCTCATGTGTTTGGCAAGCACAATCTGTACTACCTGTTCTAGCTGGCTACAAGCAGCCTCAGTACTAAAGGAACATTAAGCAACGGAAAGAGCCCTGGAGCGGTTCTGATTCAAACAAAAGTCGCACCAAGCAAGTGAGCCAAGTTCCCGCGGCAAGCCCAGCTTTGATTAATCTGTCTCTGAGTACGTCAGGGCTTCTTGGTGAGATCTGGATACTATTAGGATAAAGTTTAATTACAGAGCAACTTCTGAAACTAAAATCACTTTCCCAGTAAACTGCGGTCTGGGAGTATATTTTCGGTGCAGTTTGTTTTTTACATGACAAAAATTGTCCTAATTCCAGTTTGTTTTGTGCCAACAACTTAACAATGCACGTAGTCAAATAAATTAAATGCAGGAAGTTTGACTTTCGGCTGGTAATGTTTTTCCATCCTTACTTCAGTGTTTTTTTCAACAACAAAAAAAACTCCTGCCTGACCAGCCCATCCAGCTGTGCTCTCCCCCTCCTGTACGTTTACGCCTTTCCACTAGGAAGGGCTGACACAGAGGCTAATTGTTGACTGAGAGATTGATTATCTGAGGCCTGAAATTCCACTTGATCTTAGCCCTGTAAGTCTCTAAATAAGTGTGAGCTTGTATGATTATTACACGGGTGTTTGTGTATCCGAACTATGTTTCGCCCACAAAATATACAGTCAATTCACTTTACAGTATATTCTGTGAAGCGCTTTGAGGCATCTTGAAGACATGATAAGGCACTATATCAAATGCAAGAATTATCATTAATATTATTATTACATAAAGAGATTTTGGAGGTTGCAAGCCTTGATGGAGTTCTCCCAGAAGAAGAAATGAATGACAATAACAGAGACATGAAAAAATAGAGGGTACCAGACTCTTTCCCAATGCTGTCCTCCACACAAGGGTCTGACTCGGAATATACAAAGTTCCAACTCCTGCTTTCATTATAAAAATGAATACCGTTATACTGTCAGTAATCCTTGGTTTATCTGGAAGCTCTTTCAAATGCACTTATATCGTACCTTTCACACATAGGTGAAAGTCTCAAAGAGCATTGCAGGGATGGAGTGGATCCTGAACTGGATGGGAGAAGGGTGGGGTCCAGAGAGCGGGGGCAAAGTGGCTGAAAGCTTGCTGACTGTTGTTGGGGCAAAGAGGTGCAGGACACATGGTCAGATTTTTTTNGCGCTAATAACATGGACCCTGAGGTATGGGATCCAGGTGGCAATGTTATAATGGAACTGCCACGTATTTTGTTCTCTGAATTCACTTGTCTGTTTTCTAGCCCTAATTGATATAAGACTGAACAAGTGCATTCTTTATCTGGGGGTTAAACAATGCATTTCAATCAAGTGGTGGTGTTCTTCGAGGGGTAGATTGCAGAGAAAATGAAGACTTTCTGAACGTAAGCTGACCCTAGCATTTCCTGCTGGGTTTTAGTTTTATTGGCTTATATCATGTTCTTTATACCAATGATTATCTCCTGAACAGTGATAGCTTCCAACGGATGGCTTTCGTTGGTGGCGGGAGTCTGAGGATCAATGGTGTAACGGAAGAAGATGGTGGAATGTACAGTTGCATTGCAAAAAGTGAAAATGAAACCTTGGAGATCCAGGCAGAACTGAACGTTCAAGGTACTGATAACAGACGTGTGTGTGTGTGTGAGAGAGAGAGAGAGGGAGAGTGGTGCCCAAAAATGCACATATTACTTCAAATGAGATCTGACCAGGGCTTTCTACAACTCTTAACTCCTTTGTTTTATATTCCAGCCCAGTTGTGTTAAAGGCCAATGGGTTTGATGCCTTTTTTGTACCTGTGAACTGACCTTCAGTGATCTGTGAACTTGAACACTGAATTCCTTTTGTTCATCCACACCATCTAATACTTTCTCATTTAGTTTTTTATAGCCAAAGTGTGCTACCTCACATTTTCCAACATTAAACTTTATCTGCCATCGCTCAGTCCACTCACTTAGTAAATCTATAAATGAACTTTTTACTGTTGATAATTTGTCGGTATCTTCCCCCCCACCTGACCTTGTTAACTTGACGGCTCTCCCTCCCTGCGAAAGGTGCGCTGCCTCCTCACTCTGCCGTGTGAGACTTGAAGTGAATGAATTGGTCAGCAATAATCGTGTTGCTCACTTAGCAGAAGTGCTGGTAATTTGTTAATCTGACCTCTCTCTCAGTCACTGCAATGCTCAGCACTTCTCCACCTGGAACTACATAAATTTTTCACTGACTGGCAGGGAGATTGCTCAGTGGCTATTACCACCATCTTAGGCTATCATTATGATTTGAGGAACAATTAATTTTCACATGGCTACTGCTCATTAAGCAAAGCCCAGGCACGAGATTGTTGGTCTGTGGCAATGTCTGTCCTCTCCAAACATTCCTTGAAGCATCCTAGCCACATCTTCCAAGCCCAAATCTCTCTGTGTGCTGTTTTCAAATCCCGCTAAGTAAGATTCCCAGTTTCCAGATGAAAGGGAGGAAAGGGCAGGGGCAAGAAGTTTGATATGGAATATAACTGCTGGTTCACTGAAGACTAACCATCATAGACCTTGCTGAATCTTCTAGGGCCTAATGATCTGGAGTACCAAGTTTAACCCTCCAGACTCGACTGGAGTCCAGTTCTTCTTTGCTGTATGGATGGGGGGGGGGGCAACGGCTGAGCTCAGACATTAGATAAGCAGTCTTATCCCCAGGAGAATAGAAACACTGGGCCTGGCTGGAGCAACCAAGCACAGCAAGTGTACAACAGCTCCTTTTGTTTCAGAGCCTTTGTCCACCAGAGGTTTCCTTCAACCTCCTCTCCCCTCCCATGTTTGTAGCAGGTGTCTCAGATGTTCTAATGATTTTTACATAAATAAGTAATTAGTTGTCACAGCAACAGACCTTCCCAACTATTAAAACCAGATCAAGACTGAAAACCATTTAGTAAATGAGTAAATCATGCAGTTGAGTCTTACATATATTCCCATTCAATTATCGAGATGCAGCAAGTGGCGACCTGCCCAGTGGGAGCTGGCTAGAGCGAGAGACAGACACAGTGAGCTTAGCGAGAGAGAGAGAGATACACACACACACGCACGCACGCGAGGCTAGCTGGAGAGACGTGCGTGCGTGCGTGCACACACACACCAGGCTAGCTGAGGAGAGATATACACACACACATAGAGTACATTGAGTGGCTAATGGAGCAGAAAAGATAAACCCCTTTTTCCTGCTCCATTGTTGTTACTATCAAAATATTAGAGTTCATATTAACAGCTGCCTGTTTCAGCCAAGCACTGCCACACTCTACCTAAGTCAGTGACCTATCTGCTGCCAATACCCCACACCCCATTCCTTTCCCCCACACTTGCTGTTTCTCCTGCTGATGCTCAGAAGGTGAATCCACAAAATGTTTCCTTAACGTGGGATTGGTGTTCTAGTGGAGTGGGACTGCAGTAATCGCTGATATAAACCTCACTGGTAAAGAACGCAGTGGATTTAATGCACTTGATATTTTTCTATCCCTACAGTTCCTCCCCACTTTCTGAAGGGTCCAGACAACATTTACGCTCGTGAGTCCATGGACATCGTCTTTGAGTGTGAGGTGACAGGAAAACCTACACCAACCGTGAAATGGATCAAGAATGGAGACGTGGTGATTCCGAGCGATTATTTTAAGATTGTTGTAAGTGCTCTTGTGAGATTCTTCTCATATCGCAGCTAGGGCACGCATGGTCCTCTCTACAGCAGCTTCTCCAGCATGCCTGCTGTAGGGCTGTTAGCAGTGATCAATTGCTTTCACTTCTGTCCCATTTCTGTAATGTCTCTCATTAGCAAAGTGCTCTCCAGTGTTGGAAGTCCTTTAGCAAGCTTGGAAACTGTGATATGGGGCCACTTAACAGAACATCATGAAAAGTAAAATGCTTTCTAAAGAGTAACTTTGGCAGTAAGATGTAGACTTAATTGATGCAGTGTAAACTGTTACAGGCATTAAAAGGGGGATCGGAAATGCATTTATAACTATTGTATGAGGGCCACATATGTCATGTTTTTTTCTTTCTGTAGTGTTCCTGTTGCTGAAGCATGCAACAGTGCAAAGAATGACAAGAATTATACAAGAAAAATCTCCCAACATCCGAGCATCTGCAGTAATCTCTATGCGTTCCAGTACAGCTCAACATGTACATGTTCCAGTACAGCTAAATCTGCATGCACTTCACTGCCCCTCAATGTCCAGTAACGTCTACAGTCTCTATTGCACCCGAGTGTACAGTAATATTCCTCAACATGTAGTAATCTGTACAGGCTCTAGTATACCAAAATTGCGTGATTTTGTGGGTTCCGTTCATTTTGAGTCAGCCTATTTTTTCTATATATATTAAGTAATATTTGCTGATTATCCTGGTCAGATATAGCACTTATCATTGCCAATTCTCCCACTGAGGTGGCATCAGCATTTGCAAGTACTGGCAGGGATGGCAAATCCTGGAGATGCCGACTCCAGAGTTGGCAATGATGGAATTTGCCTGTGAAAGAGCAGCCATTGAGCCCCACCCATCCCCTCACTCCACAACCACACTGAAATAACCAGCAGATTCTATAACTATAACACAAACCACAAAGAAGCTTCCCTCAGGACATTCCTTCCCAAATGAGTAAGACAAGGTGGCCTCCTAGTGTCAGCTACATAGTATTGTGGTTCTACAGTAACTGAGTCTGGCAGCAGCAGCCCGAGTCCTTTTGTAGCCTGCTTGGTCCATGTCCAGGTCAGAGTATAGAATTATCTGATTTAATTGAGTGGGTACTTTCATCCTTCAGCAGAAAACAATCCTATTACAGAGCAGTGTGAGCTGAGAGAAGCTGTGGGGCAGCCCTGGACTTGCTCCAGATCACTGCTGCTAACAGCCTCTCTCCAGTTACGTTTCCTCAGCAGTGACTGTGAGGATCATGTTTCTTCCATCAGTACCAGCCTCCGGCTACCCCCTTCCTGTGGCCATTGACGTAGGTAGCTGACTGCAACCACAGCATGTTTTCTAAAATTGCCTCACGCCAAACATTGGTTTTACACAGAAATCAACTAGACAGGACTGGTGGAAAGCAACAACAAAAGCACCCTGAGACAGAGCTGTGGTGGTGTGTGTGTCTGGGGTGGGTGTGGCTGGGGGGAGTTGTGTATTGGTTTTACAAAGAAGAAGGAAACTGGAAGGTAGGAGCACTGCTGAGATATAGTCTTCTATCGCAGTGCTCAGTCACAGGCAGTGTGTGCATTGGTATCTATACAGAGGGATGTTAACCCATTTCTTGACGGGAGGCCTGTTACGCTGTGTCTACTGCTCACAGCTTGTACCTATGAGGAGAGTCTTACCCCACTTATACAGAGACCACTCCACACTCACATAGTGGTTCTGTCTGAACTGAGCTCTGGGTGATTCTTTTCCAGTTGGGAAGTGCCTTACTTGCATTAAGTGGTCACTCAGTCCACGACTGTTTGTGGGATACAGCTGTGCACAATTGGCTGCAGTGTTTCGTCCACAAAATATACATTCAATTCACTTTACAGTATATTCTGTGAAGCGCTTTGAGACGTCTCAACAGCGTGATAAGGCGTTGCATCAAACGCAAGGATTATTATAAGTTCATGACTAGAGTATTTCTCTCTGGTTGTGTAGCTGATTCTATGACTCTCGCATGTTGTGCGTTTGCAGAACGAACAGAATCTGCAAGTGCTGGGCTTGGTGAAGTCGGACGAGGGTCTGTATCAATGTGTGGCAGAAAACGACGTGGGCAATGTCCAGGCCAGTGCCCAGCTCATCATCCTGGAGCATGGTAAGTGAGAGGCAGCACAGACAGCACACCGGAGGGAGGGGGCTGGGATACAGGACTTGGCAACTGGCGTCAGCAGGAAACAGGTGGCAGCAACAGCAGTGAAAGAGAGAGCGAGAGAGAGGGTGAGCGAGGTGCTGGGGCAGATGGCAAAAGTGCCTTTAGCAACAGATCTGCTACTCCTGGGCAGAGCACAGCTTGTAGACATCGCTAACAGTACCCAGCACGGAGACAACTACCAGGGACTTCACACTTCTACCCCACAACTCTGCCATCTGTCACACAGTTTTTTTTTCACAAATGACACATTTCTGAACAATTATTTTCTTTCCACTTGACATCCAGTTGTGCCTTTGTCTGACTAGGAAGGGGGAAGAGGTCAGGTCTGCCACGTTTCTGCCTGCGCTGCTCTGCTGTTGTCTGCTGAATGGTGCAGGAGAGCAGCCTGGGGCGGTCCACTTCCCTCCTTCCTTGTGAGCAGCAAGGGGTAGCCTTGGGGCAGTGGATTGTCCAGGAAAGTGTATAATTGCCCAGCAGGTGTGAGAAATCCACACAACGCAGGTAGCCTGGACCTCCCTTGTTCTGTCGTGGGGGGGGGGGGTGATATTATTACTTGGTTAATTTATGTAGGTACAACAGGCACATAATCTCTGCACATGACTCTCTCCCTCCCCCATCGCATATGCTTTTCACTGCTCATTCATTTACACCAATCTTGCTGCTTCTTACTGCTCCTCACAAACACTTCTATCTCCGTGCCTAATTGCTTATTCTCTGGTTTCTTTGATTTTACCTAGTCGGGTGCAGAATGTTTATTCTGTACAAAATTAGCAAACCCTTGGTCAAAGCATTTTGGAGAGTCAATTGATCTCGGTCAGTGAGAGTCAGCTTATGAAATTTGTCAGAAACGTAGTGTTAGATACTTGCTGGGCCCTGGGATCTGCGATAGAGTCTCCGCCTTGTCTTTCAGTGTAACAGAAGAGCAAAACTAAGTGTATCCAGAACTGTGCTGTGAATCTTCCTCCCACATGCATCCTGCTCACACCTGGAGTTAACATACTGAACCATTGGACGCTGAGAAAAAAGAATCCTCATCTGCAATAAACTGTTTTAAAAAAAATCTCACTGTGCAGATCCTGGAGCGATCAGGTCCATCACATGTAATGCTACAACCCCTGTATCTTGAACTATTTGGATTGCAATACTTTGCTATGCTACGCTCCAGGTGTCTGCAGTGACTTGTACCGTTAGTTGAACTGTGAGCGTGTTTGTGTGCTTGTGGCTCTGCGATGGTGCATTGTGTGTTGTCCGTTACTCCCTTTTTAATTTAGTGGTCAATCGCACGCTTGCCATTGATGGTTACTGACGTTTCTGCGTTTGTTCGTTTTGTGCTGTTCCCATTGTGCTTTGGTTTGGTTTATTTTCTTTCTTGTGTTTTTTTTTCTCCTCCCCACCTTTTTGTTTGGTTGTGGTGTTTGCCGTTTCTCCTCCTCCCCCCTCCCTCCCCCGACTGTGCCAGACATTCCCATCCCAACATTTGCCCCCGCCTCACTGACAAGTGCCACTACTGACCATCCAGCAGCCGCCACGGCCGAACTCCTGTCCTCAGCCCCTCGCGATGTGGTCGCTCTCCTCGTCTCCACACGTTTCATCAAGCTGACCTGGCGTCCACCAGCCGAGCCCAAAGGAGAGATCCTCATGTACTCTGTGTACTACTCTCGGGATGGCATTAACAGGTGAGGCTCCTCATTGCTGCAGACCCTAACCTTGTGGTTGATGCAGTTACATCGGTTATCAGTTCAACTGAGGTCCACCTGTTCAGGTAGATGCAAAGGATCCGATGGATCCCTGTAGCATTTTTGTTAGAGCACTCATCAACGCAAGCGAGAGGACCTGGGTTTGATTCCTGGGGAGGGGGAAACATTAGGTAAGTTTTGAGACGTCTCAAAGACATGATGAGGCGCTATATCAAATGGAAGGATTATTATTATTATGGCACTATTCGAAAAGAGAATGGAGTTGCTTCCTGGTGTCCTGGCTGACAATCCCCCAAATAAAATTGGTCACTCGCTCCATGTGTCTATGAGATACTGCTGTGTGCAACTAGCTACGGGTTCACCCACAAAATACACAGTCAATCCACTTCACAATATATCCTGTGAAGCACTTTCAAATGTCTCGATGACGTGATATTGTCCATAACAAAATGCAAGGATTATTATTATAAATAGCAATAAATTATTTCCTCCGACCAGTATCAAACAAGCACAAATTTAAGATGATCACATACTTATAATCCTTGTATTATTTTGTCTACAAAGTTTAAATGTTTCCAGGTGCTTCACAGGGAATTGCTGTCAGTGTGGTAGACAGTGTATTTCTAAGCAAACATGGCAACCAGTTTGCTACAGCCCAAAGGCAACCGTGAGGTAAATGACCAATTAATCTGGAGGATTGTTGGCCTAGACAACGGGAGAAATTCTTCTCTCTTTGAATATTGTCTAACTGTAGGATAGTTAATATTCACCAGAATTTGCAGACGTTCTCAGTTCAGCTTCTCATCAGAAGGACATCACCTCCAACAATGCAGCGCTCTTCTAGTACTGCACTTGGGTGTCAGGCTAGATTGTGAGCTCAAAGGCGTGATGTGGAGCTTGAACCCACAAGCTTTTGCATTCATTAAACACAGTGTAACTGTTCCGATATTTAATGAACAATATTGAAAGGATTGCTGATTGCAGCTAGTCTCCGATCCTTTGGGTTCATGACACACCAGAGAGATTATGGTCTGCTGCCAGGAAAGCAGGGTCTTGGCTAGTGCTCGGTGGCATCATGCCAGGCCAGGCACCTGTTTTAAAGTGCCAGTACCGCCTGCTTTATAACTGTTTGTGGCAGAATGGGATTGTTACTGATCCAACCACTGACACAAATCATAAGTACATGGGAATGATGCGTCAGCCATTCCAAAAGTGTAACCCTGGGATGAACTGTGTCATTTAGGTGCCACCCTGTGAGAACTCTCACCTCCAAGTTAGAAAATTGTGGGTTCAAGACCCAGTCTAGGTTGACACTCCAATACAATACTGGTAGCATACTGCATTGTTGGAGGCGTTGTGTTTCGTATGGGATGTTAAACTAGGTTGTGTCTGGCTGGTCAGGTGGAAGTTAAAGCACTACTTGCAAAAAGAAGGGAGTTTCTCTTGGCCCCAAATAACTATTGGTCATTCACCGGAACCCTGGGACAAACTCCCTTTTTTTTCCTGGCACTCTAACATGGTTTTCCTTAACCTGAACAGGCAGATGGGCCTTAGTTTAATGAACCGTAGAGGCAGTCTGGACTATGACCTCGAGCTCTGATTTGGGATTTGAGCCCACAGCCTTTTTACCCAGAAGTGAGAGTGCTACCAACTGAACCTTGACTGTTAGATGATGTAGGCCACCAAAATTAAGCAGGCAATGACTCCTGTGGATGGGGCGAGTAGAAACCAATGTTTACTTGTGCAAACATTAGAGTACGCACACAGGCCGTCAAGAGGAACAGTAATGTGCAGGAGAGCATTTCAGCTCTCCCGAGACTCTGTCCTGTGTGAAGGTTACTATATAAATGCAAGTAAATGTTGGTGAAGATCTGATTGTTCCTCTAGCAACTAAGGGTAGTGAGTGTAATCTAGGAGGTGAGTGGATTAAGGATTCATTCTCTTCTGTTAACCTCTGGTAGGGAACGTGTGGAAAATACCAGTGGACCTGGGAATCTGGAGGTAACCATCAAGGACCTTATGCCAGAAGTGAAGTACGTCTTCCGAGTCATCGCTCACAACAAGCAGGGTCCAGGAGAGAGCTCGGCCCCATTCAAAGTGGCTACCCAGCCCGAAGGTAAACCAATGTCCTTTCCCTATCACCTTCTCACACACTGAAGCCTTGAGGGGGTTCAGGGAATGGGGTAGGGGCTGTGTTGAAGGAGATTGATAGTATCTCTATATGCTCCTTCAAAGAAGCTAATACAATAGGTCGAATAGTCTCCTACTGTGCTGTCGGTTTCCGTGTTTTGCTGATGGAGAGGATCGTGGAAGGCAGCTGGAGGATGTGGGATTGAGGAGCAGGGCTGGGAGATGGGGCGGTGCAGGGCTGGGGGTTGGTGCTGAAATATGGAAATAAATGGATTATGACCAAAGTGAAGGAAAGCTCTTTTCAATCCTGTGCTTTGTTTGTGACCTGCAAGTCACTGTGTTCTGTTATTCAGTTCAAGTTCCAGGTCCAGCTCCCAACCTCCAGGCTCTGACCACTTCGCCCACCTCCATCACCATCACCTGGGAGGCACCGCTCTCCGGCAATGGACCGGTTGTGAACTACAAGCTGTACTACATGGAGAAAGGGGCAGTGAGCGAGCAGGTGAGGACACTGTATAGCACGAGTTACTTGTAACACAGCTGCCCCTCCACACACTCCTGCACAAGTGACGGCTGGGATACGTAATATGCTTAAGTGTGCCATTTTAATGTGAGAAATTAATCCTGCTCTTCAGAGTAAATCGAACTGAGCTTTATGGGGTCTGAAATCAAGGAAATAATACTGTGACATCGAGTGGTGGTATGAGTGTTGTGCAGCTGCTGTCCAGCTCAGAAAGGCTTAAGGGCTGAGCTGTGGAGCACAGTTCAGAGGGGTGCGGAGCCCTGCTAACCCGATTACTGTAGGAAAGGTGATTGTGGAGATCTACCTGGGTATTATTGCTGCATTGTTCACACTCAGTAACTTGGGCTACAGTGCGTTGTGTGTCTTGCCCAAAAAACACAGTCAATTCACTTTACTGTAAAGCGCTTTGAGACGTCTCGAAGATGTGATAAGGCGCTATATCAAACGCAAGGATTACACTTTGTGCCTGTGTCGATCCTGGACAGGATGTGGACGTTGAAAACCTTTCCTACACCATGAATGGGCTGAAGAAGTTCACGGAGTACAGCTTCCGCGTGGTGGCTTACAACAAGCACGGGCCCGGCGTCTCCACCGAAGACATCGTCACCAGAACCTATTCTGATGGTGAGTGGGGTGCTGGAGCAGATACCGCGCGCCTACGCATTGCCTCGACCCCTCTTTATCCATCTTGAAACCCACTTGAAAACTTTAGTATGTGTGATGGGGGTCACTTTGGCTCACTGGGCTGAGGACATTCTTGGGCTGGGTGGTTGGACTACTCCTGTTGTTGAATACATTTCACATGGTGATGCCATTCTGTTCAGTGCTGTGTCTGACCAGCGTGTGTTGTGTGTTTTAGTGCCCAGTGCAGCTCCTCAGAATATCACAGTGGAAGTGCGCAATTCCAAGGTAAGTCTCTTTAAGTCAGCAGAACCACAGTAAGGAAGGCTTGTGAAGGTATCTCAGCAGCTTCAGCACATTGTACATTCAAGCTATGAACCCTTTCCTTAGCTGGTTTGAGCTGCAGTTGCTAGAGCAGGCCTGATTCCCTGCTGCAACAGCACTTTGAGGACACTGAGTATGGATATGCCAGTAACTTTGAATGCTTTGAGACGTCTTGAAAACGTGACAAGGGCGCTGTATCAAATGCAAGGCTTATTATTGTTATTATTACTGACTTCAGATAGAACCAGCTCGATCTCCTCACTGAGTCTCCTCACTGCCTCACTCGAGGCTGATTCACACAGCAGCTGCAGTCTCTCAGGTTACTGTTCTGGTGAGCACGGTCTGTGGTGTGAAAGCGCTGAAAGCCCTTGGGTTAGTGTGTATAGAGAGAGAGGGTGAGGGTGCTGCATGTCTCTGGTGATTAATTGCAGTTGGTTGGTTTCTCTTGTCTAGAGCATTGTGGTCCATTGGCAGCCTCCCCCACCGGGCACCCATAACGGAGTGATCACAGGTTACAATATCCGCTACAAAAAGGGAGGTCGCCGTGGCGAGACCGACAGCACCGGAGGGAACCAGCTGTCACAAATAATAGATGGTGAGTCACATATATGAGTCAGCTCCTGAGATGTAGTTTTCACACGTATTGTGGTTGATCAAGAAGCTGAACTGGAAGCTTGAACCAGATATAAAAGCATTCAGCATTCGGTTAAGCGATCAAATCACCTTGTTAAACTTGGGTAATGGAGAAAATCTTAGTCGGCACACCAGGAGAATTCCCAAGCTTCAGATAGGACGTTATCCCAAACACCCATCAGCCAGTGTCAGCGCTTCAGGGACATGTTTATGATTGCACGCTGCCAATTCCGAAGACTGAAGCAAAAGATTTATTCAACAATTTTGCTGCGTCTTTATCCTCTATGACAGCCACACCTATTGCTGCTTTGAATGTACCCACCTCCTTCTTTGCCTTGAAGAGGAACCCTAATCTGTACAGAGTTGTGGACAAAATTCCTCTGTAGTAAATCTACTCTAGTTGAATGCAAATCTGCATCTTTTTACTAGTGGAAATGTTACAAATACTCTCCTCAACCAAAGGAGGGCGGACTGTTATTCTCATTGTGGCTCACTGTGGCCCTCTTCTGATGGGTAACTCAGGCTGCAACATGAAAATTGTCCTTTGCTTTACAGCTCGCAGGTAAAATTGATAATGATAATAATTGGCAATATGTTACTACCCAGTGTGAAACTGAGCCCCACAGTGCAGAATGATCCAGGATCAAGGTTAGCTTGTTTGGTGATGGGGCAGCACTACATTATCGCAGATGAGGTTGAAACTGAGGTCCCTATTCAGGTGGGCATTAGAAATCTCATGTTACTATTCAGAAAGAGAAGTGAGGTTCTTCCAGTGTCCTGGCCAACAAGTGTTTGCATATCCATATAAACTGCAAGGATTATGTGTACTATTTATCCTATCGTAATTCTTAGTAATCTTGACAATTTCTATCTGGCGACTCCTTATCATTCTCAGCCATAGTAAAAAATCCCCTATTTTTTCACGTTTATCTTAACTGAAATCCCTCATCGCTGATAACATCCTAGTGAGCCTACTCTGCACCTTTGCTATTGCTTTGATATCTTTCATATGATCGGGTATGCAAAACTTACCCAGTAGTCCAACTGTGGTTAGATTCTTTCAAATGCAAATTAGATCGATTTGTTTAAGGAAATAATATTTTGGGATACAGTGTACAATTAGTTCAGAATATCAGGCATGCATGCGACTGCCAGGATGGTGGAAGACAAACTGGATGGACCTTGTTTTTTTTTGTCTAGCATATGTTTCTATCTACCAAAGTCTTATCTATGTTCCTATCTACAAGTTGAGCCTTACCTCTTTAGTCACGATGAGGCTGTGTTTTCTTTGTGTTACAGGATTGGAGAGGAATACAGAGTACAGTTTCCGAGTCTCTGCTATTACAGTCAACGGCACCGGCCCCTCCTCTGAGTGGCTGTCAGCTGAAACGTTTGAGAGTGACCTGGATGGTAAGGATCCCAATTAAACACACACCGGCCGGTCACCATGTTGAAGGGTTTTTGTGTAGTTCTTCTATTGATTATTTTGTTTCACAGAAACCCGAGTCCCGGATGTGCCCAGCTCTCTTCATGTCCGACCTCTGACTAACAGCATCGTGGTGAGCTGGACACCCCCCGAAAACCAGAACATTATTGTACGAGGTTATGCGATTGGCTATGGCATTGGCAGCCCCCATGCAGAGACCATCAGGGTGGATTACAAGCAACGCTATTACACCATCGAACGGCTGGGTGAGTGAGTGAGCAAGAGAGAAAGATATTGCGATTTGTAGTATTCTGTCACCACGGGGCTCCACGGAAAGCTGGATTTTGGGGCTCTGACCATTGCCGTGTATGGCTACTTGCAACGTGGCTCGAACTCTGCAGTTGCTCGGAAACCAACAGCAGAGTCTCCGGGGACTGCCAGGGTGGTGGACAGCGAACTGGATGGATCTTGATCTTCTATTGTCTCGCAATTCTTATGTTCTTAATAGAGCAAAGAAATATTACATTCTCCTGAAGAGCTCTCAAAATCTCAGTCCCAGCAGCAATGCTCATTTACACGTTTCTTTGATGCCCTCACTCTCTATATTGCTATTTTTACATTTAATAAGCATCTGAGTGACCTTTAAGTCAGGGCTGCACTGGTGCTGTTGAAGAGTGACAGATTCCTCTCTGCTCTCTCCTTACAGAGCCCAATTCGCACTACGTGATCACACTGAAGGCGTTCAACAAGGTTGGGGAAGGAATCCCACTGTATGAGAGCGCAGCCACCAGACCCCTAACTGGTAACAGAAATAAATCTCCAGTTTCTCGTACTTTCTTGTCTAAGTGATACTGCTGTGTCCTGTAGAGGTTATGTACCTGTTTTGAAAGACAGTGCAGCTCAGACTTGATTATGAATCCAGCATGTTAAAGTTCTCCTCTGCTGTAATGGTAGACGGTGAGGAGGCTGGGGAGGCGAGGAGGGAAAGATATGTAACAGTCCCTTAGGAAGGTTGACTCCCACCCTCAAGGCCTGAGTGCACTTGGCCTGGCTCTGGAGCATTTCTGATAGTTTGTCTGATGTGAGGAGTGTGTGAGGGTGATTCAGAAATGGGTCAGGGCTCCTATACATGTGGCCAGATGTTCCAGTGCATGTAATGGCATTGCGGAGGAGGCAGCCAATAGGGTGAGGGATACAGGAGGAGTATGAAGGACAAATGATGATTGAATTACTGATGGAGAAGTGGGTTGAAATGGGTGGGGAGAGGGGGAGTTCTTTTCAAACATAACCATTATCTCTGTCAGGTCTATGTGGGTTTGAGTGTGTGACAGTTAGACTATGGACTGTTGAGTCCTGTGCAGTAGCTGAGGCCATCTGGTCTTTCTGGTACAAGCAGACCCTGTTATAGCGTGGTGATTTGGGTCCATAAAAAACATTACAAGAGAGTGCTCTTAATAACTGGTTGCTGGTTATCCCGTCCACGTCATCAGGTTGCTTCTGAATTCACTTCCTCAACTCAGAGCTGAAAATGTCCAGTGGGTGTACACGGGTACAGATGTGGATCAACGGTACACATTAATGTGTAATGCAGGCGCGTTTACAATATAGTACAAGATTACATCTGTACAGTGCCTTTCACGTCAGGAGGACGTCCCATGGCGCTGGACGGTCAGGGATTTAGACTCGAGCTGGGGTCAGGATCGGGGAGAATGGAGGGCAGGAAGGTGGTCGAAGGCACGGTGAAACATGCCTTAAAGGAGGCAAGGGAGGGAGCGAGGCAAAGGGAATGTGGGATATAGTTCCAAAGGGATCAGCCTGTATCTTACACATGCATGCATTGGTGATAAAATGGTGCTTCAGATGTTGCAGTGTTTAGTAACTGTGCTTCTCTCTTTTTTTTCTCTCCATCTCATACCTTCATTGTTCCACTTCGGTCTCGTGGTTTTTTTTACGTTACTTTCCCCTTTCCTATTTATTTTTCTCTCAACGAATGATTTCTGGTTTAATTTTCCCACTCAGACCCCTTTGATCCTTCTAAGGTTTATTTATTTGATCCATACACTCCAGTACCAGACCCCAGCCCCATGCTGCCACCGGTTGGAGTCCAGGCCACTGTGCTTAGCCACGACACTATCCGGGTGACGTGGGCTGACAGCTCACTGCCCAAAAACCAGAAGATCATCGATGCTCGCTTCTACACCGTACGCTGGAAAACCAACTACCCGGCCAACACCAAGTTCAAGGTCAGTGTTTACACTCTCGCTCGGCAACACCAAGTTCAAGGGCAGGGTGGCTGTGTTTGGCTGGTGTGACATTTCAGCTCAGTCTAAAAGTGCAAATTTATACACAAAGGGTAACATTTACACACTCGCTCAGCAACACCAAGGTCACATTTACACACTCGTTTAATCAGCACTGCCAGCACATGTGAGCAGAGTTGATGTGCGATCACTAATCTGCGTGTCTCTGCAGACGGCGGACACCACAACGCTGAGCTATATTGTCTCGGGCCTGAAACCAAACGCGCTGTACGAGTTTTCAGTGCGAGTCACTAAGGGACGGAGGACGAGTACTTGGAGTATGACCGCGCATGGGACCACGTTCGAGACAGGTTAGTGCACGGCAAGGAACGACTGCTCTGCCTGGCCACCAGCAGCATATTATACCACCCACACCACAACACCCCTCTGCTTAGGCTTTACAGCACTGCCAGTGTTTAGCGAAATTCACACTGCAAAAATATCTTGGGAGTCTGCATTCGCTCCTGATGCCCAATTTTTACAGAGCCTGAGAGTCTCCACTGCTGGAATCCTGGTCGGAGCTGGGGAATATTGGGAGTGACCAAGATTTATGTCGAGGTTGGGAGAGATTGAGGTCGGGTGTTAGGATTAGCTGAGTAACTGAGAGTACAGTGAATGTCAGACTATTTATGCTGTGGTGTGGAGGCCAGAGCAATGAGCTGAGGTTGTTTTGTTTCTCAGTCCCAACCTCTCCACCCAAAGACCTGACCGTGGTGAGTAAAGAGGGGAAGCCCAAGACCATCATCGTGAACTGGCAGCCACCCTCTGAGGCTAATGGCAGAATAACAGGTAAGAGTGTGTGTATATGGGAGGGGGAGAGGGGCATGAGTGCACAAGAATGTGGGGTGGGGGGCGGAATGTGGTGTGTCTTGAGAGTGAGTGAACAACACCATACAAAATTACAATTGTAGAGCATGTTTCACATCGGGAGGATGTCCCAAGATGCTGTGATGTGAAGCTTATATGCTATGTTTTGTGCCTCAGGCTACATCATCTACTACAGTACTGACATCAGCGCTGAGATCCATGACTGGGTGGTGGAGCCAGTGGTTGGGGACCGGCTGACACACCAGATCCAGGACCTGACTCTGGACACCACCTATTACTTCAAAATCCAGGCCCGTAACTCCAAGGGGATGGGCCCTTTGTCAGACTTTGTGCAGTTCCGCACACCTAAACGTGAGTCTCTGTGACAACTGTATGATACAGTAATGCCCAGTTACAGATGGGCAGCAATTAACTGCTATGTGTCCGAACAAACCCTAATCCGCCAGGGGGAGGAGGGACATCACCCGAAACCAAACTCATCAAGGATAGAAGATGGGCACTGAAGACTGAGATGAGAGATATGGGGGGAAAAAAGCAGAACTTGACAAAAGATCCCCAGCACTCACTCTTAATGTGTAACGTATCTTTGTGAGCCAGGATGGTTGGTAGTGTTTAGTGTATCAGACGTAGCCTTGAAGCTGAGATTCACGGCCAGTTTCTATACAGAACGTGCCTGGATTATTGCCCGTTGTGGAAAGGGTCTGATTTCAATAGCAGCTTCTGGTGACCATGTGGCCTCTGATTGCCATTGAGCCTCACCAACTCTCTCTTCCTCTGCATTTCTACTTTTCTCATTTGGAGCTTCTCTGTGAGGCGGGTGTACTTGTAGCCTTCACTGAGACGGGCTGGTAACCATCGCTGTTTGTCTGCCTGTGGCTGTGTGTGTGCTTGGTCTTGCTGTGCATGTTACTGTGCATGTTGCTTAGCTCTAGCTCAGTGACTGACTGATTGCGGCTATGTTTCTTCTGCTGCTGTGAAGTGGTGACTGTTTAATTCTGGATTAACCTAATCTCTCCTCTCGTTCAATGAATTGCTTTTTTATGTTTCTCTTGTATCCTAATCTGTTAGCTGAGTCAGCAGACAAAATGGCTAATGACCAAGGTAACCCCACTCAGCTTGGTTCATGCGTGTTCCTGTGACTGTTGGTAGTTTGTATGCACTCGTTTAACACTTGCTGTTTTGTGCCATTTAACCCTTTGAACTGTCTGGCTCTTCACGTCTCTTTGGAATGTTGGTAGTGATTTGCTCCAACAATAGTTGACCCATATCTTGAGCTCAACTCTTGGAGTGGGGGGGTGGAGGGGAAGACAAGTGACCTCCCAACTGGAAGGAGCTAGATCTCCAGACTGCTCGATGCACCAATAATAAACCAAACAAGAACAGGATGCAACAAATCAAACGAGCTAAAGATCTACTGACAGCATCCACTAGATCAGAGGTTTTACATCCAGAATCAATCAGTGCTCCCAACAGTGAATAAATAATCTGATTTTCAGTCCTTAAAATGATGACGAGGCCTGTTTATCAAAGGGTTAAGCAGCTTTTTTCATTTCAACCTTGAATTATGTCTTGTTGCTAATTCTGGGCCCTCTCTCCATCGCTCACTCGCTAGCTCTTCCTCTGTTCTTGGTGTGTTGTAGGGATTGAGTAGACGTATTATGTGTGTTGGATTTATAGAGTTAATCTGAATACACCTTGGGACGTCCTCCTGATGTGAAAGGTGCTATGTAAATACAATTTGTTGTTGAATGCTAATGCCGTGTCTCTGTCCAGAGTATGGAACGTCCGGGAAATCAGGAAATTCCTTTGTGATCGAGTCTCCTCCGGACCCCAAGCATTCCACCAGTGGTAATGTTCTTCAGTTTTATGCTTTTTCCTCAAGTTTTCCTCCAAAAACTCTTTGTGTAATTTTATCGCTACAATAAAAAGTGACGTTTTTAATTTGAGATAGTTATGAATATCACCATCTACTGAGCATTCCCTTAATTCTGATCAATACCTTAACTGCTGCCCTGAGATTGAGTGTGGTGTGTTTGGCTCAGTGTTGCACCCGGACCAGGTCTTTACCCAGTGAATCGCTCCAGGGACAGTAAAGGGAGGTGGATGGTGGTTCTGGTGGGTTTGGGGCTAGTTTTCTTTATTGCTACCAGTCGCACTCTCCAGCTTCCTGCCCCTAGAACATGTTTCTACGACCTCCACACAAGCCCCAACTGTTGTTTCACATGTGCCGACAGGTCGAAACAGCCCTCACGGCAGCCCCACATCCAACCTGGACAGCAACATGATGCTGGTCATTATCGTTTCTGTGGGCGTCTTCACCATCATCATCGTGGTCATCATCGCCGTCATCTGCACACGACGGATCAACACACAGCAAAAAAAGTGAGGCAGAGAATTGCTTTAAAAGCCGCTTGTGTGCAAAGTGTCATTCCTCTCCATTGCTCACTCTTTCCTCATCCCACTTCATTGATTCTCTGTTTCTTAGGAAACATGCAGCCTGCAAGTCAGCCAATGGGTCTCACAAGTACAAAGGCAACTGCAAGGATGTCAAACCCCCTGATTTGTGGATTCACCACGAACGGCTGGAGCTGAAACCTATCGACAAGTCGCCAGATCCCAACACGGTCATGACGGACACTCCCATTCCCCGCAATTCCCAGGACATTACTCCTGTGGATGGTTCCATGGAGAAGGAGCAGCACCAGAGAAGGAATTCCTATCTGGGTGAATGCCGCTTGACTCTTGTTTGTAAAGTAAATGGAACGTGAGCCACACGTTCAAAGCAGTCGCTGACATGGTTCAGTGACCTGCAGGACTCCCTGCTGCTCCCCGCTAGTTACTGAGTGGTGTGTGTGTAACTGGCTGTCTCGTTTCACCCACACGATACGCAGTCAATTCATTTGACAATATATTCTGTGAACCGCTTTAAAACGTCTCAACGACGTTTTATTTATGTGTTATTTATATAAAATGCAAGTATTATTATTGCATCTAAGGTTGTATAATCCTCCGCACCGGGCAGACGGGACCAGGAATTTCCAAAGTTTGAAAGTGGGGCAGCTTTGGGACATTGCTACCCTTTGTGGCTGGGAAGGAAAGGGAACAAGGCTGGGTGTGCAGGAGGGGGAGCAGCGAGAAACAGGAAATTGCATAACCTGAAATTAAAAAGAACCCAGTTACCTCCGAGCCTGTGTGAGCTGATGAAATCCCATCAGTAGCTGTGACTGGGACACTGCCCTGGGTGAGGGGCACTGTATAAATGCAAGTTGTTGTGATGTGACGTGACGGGATTCCCCGAGTGAGCTGACAGAATGTTTGTGCTTTCAGCGCACGACCTCGACGAGGGGTCTACACTGAGTGGACGCCGCGGGATGCGACCAAAGATGATGATGCCATTTGATGCACAGCCTCCACAACGTACGTCTGTTCCCCCTTTAACTCACTCTGGGCTTCGAGGGAGGAGCGGGACTGGTGACAGAATTAGTGCCCACTGAACCACTCACTGTATCGCAGCTCCAATGTTGGGTTTATAATTTTGGAGACTGTTTAAATATCTAGGGAAGGGGACACCCCAGGTGGAGGGAGGTAGAGCTTCACATGGAAAAGTTTTGCAATGGATTTCAAATGCACTAACCAAAATGAAAGCTAAATGTATATTTCTATCTATGTTACAGTAATATTGAGCAGGTGTTATGTTACAGTATGTTACAGTAATATTGATCAGAAACAAATGAGCAGAAACAAATCTACCCAAACCGAATAAGACTGTGTAAACGCACCAACTCTAGTGTTTGTGACATTATCTGTGATGCCCAGATAATACAACAAAATTACATTTATAGAGCTCCTTGGCATGTCCTCCTGACGAGAAAGGCGCTCTATAAATGTAATTTTGTTGTTGTTGAATTATCTGGGTATCACACTGCAATCCTGCATTGTGTCTGAGTGTAATTGGTGGTTTATGTTATGTCTTTGTCTCCGTGGGGTTCTGGGAGGGGTGGATTTCACCTCTATCTGTAATTGAAGCCATATTCAGTCTGATCGTCAGTCATTGTGGAGGGGAACAGCCCATGTCAGTCTGTCAGTGTTTCGGGAGAGGCTGCCTTTAACTGTCGGTGTGTTTGGGGGCATGCAGGAGGGAAGAAGCTGTGTTCGGGGTAACTCGTTTGTTCAGTGTGTGAAGTGCTCTCTGTATTATGTCCATTCACAGCTGTGATTAGTGCTCATCCCATCCATTCACTTGACAACCCTCATCACCATCACCACTCCGGCCTTTACTCCCCAACTCGCAGTTACCTTCATCACCAGATCAACAGCCGGCTGCTGGGCTCCTCTGTGCCGGTGGTAGACAGGGCTCCTCCTACAGGTGAGATCTTAGCCCTGTCCTCACAACCACTGAGTGTCACAGGGAGACGGGAGCTGTCACTGCATTCTCTGATTGTCGTGAGTGTCTGTGTGTACCCACTGGGTTGTGGGGGCAGGGGGAGAGAAGAGAAACCTTTGGAGTTTCATTTTCTCTCATCTCCCCCCACTCCCACCCCCTAAAACATTGTTAATGTGTTTATGTATGTGCATTACATGGGTGAATGGATCAATGTGTGAAAAACATTTCATCAGAAGCAATGGTATTTAGGAACTTGCTAATTCTGGGGATCATGAAACCCTGAATATATGTGAGAACCTAAATTGATTGCAGGATTCCTTAAACCAGAATACACACAACTCACTCTGGGAGTGTAGCTATACTTTTCTTTCAGCAGTTCCACTGGTGCCACGACAACAAGCTTTTAAAATAATCATTGCATGTTTCAATCTTGTGATTGTCTTGTCTCTTTCTGCAAGTCTTTTATAAAGTTTAAATGTTGCTTTCTTTCAGTGAGATTCAGCATTGGAAAATCCTCAATGCTGGTTTCCAGTGGTGGGGATCTTTGATCTGGCCAAGCTGTGTGTTGGTGCTTCATTTTGATACTCCTCAAATGTTTCAGGGTGTTTATTCAACTCACTGTTTATTTTTGGGTCAACGAGAATCTGTCATATTCAGTAACCCATGTCGTGATCCCGCTTCACAATCTTAAGACTCTCCAAACCAAACTCCTGAGAGTTCCACATAAGATGGTTTCCCTTTGTCTGGTATAGTATGTGCATTCTGTCCCCAGAGAAGTGCTAACCTGTTTCATTTATCAAAAGAACCTTTTGTGCCTCAAACAAACATAATCTGCCAAACATCCAGGAAAGGGTTTAAGGGCCAAGTCCATATAAATGACATTTATATGACCTAATCCATCTACCTGCCAAGTAATTGCATGAGTTGCTGCGGTATTACAAGGTGTGCCGAGCAATCCCAGCTTCAGCAGGTAACTCACACTTGTGGATTCCCCTTTCAGAATCTGTACGGAACACACCGAGCAGTGACATGTCACCGGCTCCAAGCTCCCAGATCCATGCTGCAGAACACACGGAGCCTGACATCCCACCCGTGTCCTACATGCCGGCCTCCCAGGAGGAAGAATCCAACCGAAATGTTCCCACAGCTCACGTGCGCCCATCCCATGCACTGAAAAGCTTTGCAGTGCCTGCCATCCCGCCTGCCAGCACCAGCACCACCTACGAAACTGCATCATCCAGTACCCCATTATTATCCCAGCCAGGTCAGTGCACACTCACCACAGAGTGGATCCTTGCCTTTCATTGTAACTCAATCCATCCACTTTCAGTACCCAGTGCTTGCACACAAGACACACACCAGGCAACAGAAAGCAGAAGAATCACGGATACAATCTCTGAACTAAACTAGGACCAGAATACCTGTAATGTGGTGACTGGAGCTTTCGGGCTGAGAGGGAAGGATAGAGCAGGGCTTTTGGAGGAAGGGGATGGGGAGTGGAGGGATGGTTAGTCAGTGTTTGACTCAGACTAAGTGTGAGTGATTTAAACCTAATGATCGTGTTTGTGTTGCAGGAGGAAACCCTCAGGTGCACTCGGTGAAGACAGCGTCAATAGGAACTCTGGGGAGGAGCAGGTCACCCATGCCAGTCACAGTGCCTAACGCACCTGACGTGGCAGAATCTGCAAAGATGCTGGAGGACTCTGATAGTGTAAGTTACACACATTCAAACTGGGCACTTCTAGTATTAACTGAACGGCTTCAAACTGTTCTCTTTCCTCCTGCTCACCACCCCTCTTTACTGTCCAACATTCCCACTGCCCCCTTTCCTCTCGATGACTAATGAATAAATGTGAACAAACTCTCCCAGATAGTGCCATCCAGCCCATCAAATCTGTGCTGGGGATTTTGTCCACCTGATATGTCGTATAATCTCACTCCCCGAATTCTATTCCATGGCTTTTAATAGTCCTTTTTTTCAAGTATTTTAATTTCTGGCTATAGTTCTTCGCTAGCAGTTGTCATTTCTTGTCCTCCCATGTCCTCCCCATCCCAAAGTATTCCAGCCAATGACCATGTGACTCTTTGCAGAATTATGGACCAGATGAACTCACTGAAGAGATGACTCACCTCAAAGGTTTAATGAAGGATCTGAATACTATTACCACAGCATAAAGGATCCAGCATCATGTGTTTCACACACTGAGACCTGAGCTGGTCGGCAAGGAATATGTACAAAAGACACCCAGGGGGTCAGATGCAACATAATGTGATGTGTAAAGTCTCGTGGAAACTGCCTTTGTCACGACTGTGGATATCAAACCATCCAATCAACGCCATGGAATCCGAGTCTCGGCTCTGAAAGACTTCTGCTTGTTTGGGAACCGCACAGGCGTACTGTTCAACATTCAATATCGTCTATCTATTTACTGCATTTTTACGTTTTCTGGTGTTACTTATAAAAGAATGTTGGAGTTTTACTTTCGTATCCAGATGTGATATTTGACTGCTTCATTGTAGCTAGCGTGAGACGTACATTCAACAAATCACAGAGCCATCTTGCTTTCTCTGCATCACACAGTGAGTGCCATGGCACAAACTTTACTCTGCAGCCCAATAACCTGCCTGTATTTGTTCATCACTGTGATCTCTTAGTAAACTTCAGAATATTCCTGTTTGGACGTGACAAGTCAGCTGTTAAAGCACAATTATGGAGGAGGAACGGCAAGATCAGTAACTACCAGACGCTCAGCATGACTCACTCACATTGAGTTACACCAATGTGTGCAGTAGTAGACATTTTATATGAAGAAAATTCTCTACATGTTCTATTGGAAAATTGTTTAGCCATAAGAAAACAAGTCAAACTGTAGAATGGGTTCAGATCACTGGACCCTCTTTGAACCCGGTAAATGGGTTCTGATTTTCATCCCTTCTTTAAACCATGTCGTGTTGGCTCCAATTACTGGAACCGCTTCCCCTCTTCTCTCCTAACTTTGTTGTAATTGCCTCTACCGTCTTGGTTTTACTTTGTTTGTGAATATTGCTTCTTATGTACATCTCCATGAATGTTAATATAACTGTTTTAAGGAAATTTATTGTAATGAATACAATTGAACAAAGCTATTGTGAAGATTTAGAAATCACCTCCATTGTAGGCAGTGACATCCGTTTTGCACTTTTTCACCTTTTACAAAGAACCATTTTCTTATGGCTTGTGTTAACTTCTTGTGTATTTGTTGTGTCCTCGTTAGCAAAGCAGCTTTTTATTCCCAGAAAGGTGAAGGTGCAAACTGTTTATTAATCCTGATGTAGAAACAATGCAAATTGCTGTAGTTTATATACCGAGAACCTTGCTTGTAGCATACTCTGTGGCTTTTTTTTTTAAACTTCATGTTCTAATGTAATATTGGAATTCCAATACATTTTGTATTCAACCAGTAGGAGTGTGAATTTAGAGTTTGTTGTGTGCTGTAGCAAATTCCCTAACTCCTTTACTAGAAAACTCTTTTCAGCCAATCCTGGTTATTTCACCTCAGGAATGCCTTGAGTCACGTATGAAATTGAGGCAACTAAACAAAGGATCCTTCAAGATGGTGGGACCTTGTGGAGGAACTGACAGAGGCGATTTAACATCTCCGAGGCAGGACTGAGAATTATTCCATCTACAATACTGTAAGTTTCCTTGTACTATTCTTCCTGGATACTGATTAGTAATAATTGCTCTGAATATTAGTTTAGGAGCTTCAGTTAAAGCAGCTCCTGGGTTTTCCATAAATATTAGTTACAACAAAACCAAATCATCCCATTGCTGCTCAACTCCCATTACTGGCCCCAGATGTGTTGTGTATTGTGGACAAGTAACAGGAACAGTTGCAATAATTCTAATCATGCTAAATCTATTTAGTGTTTTATTTAAAGATGTTCACAAGTTAAGAAACCAAAACACCTATCATGGTTTGAGCCTTTAACCATTTTAGGTCGTGAAAGTCTTACAAAACAAGACAATGTATTAGTTAGGTATGTACTTTGCCTAATGTACAAGTGAGGATACAGCCAAGACAGGTGTGATATTTTTCTTCTCTGAAAGTAGATTCTAAGGATCCAGATACCAGTAATTTAGACTTGGCCTCACGCTGTCTATCTCTTCTCGTGCCTTTTGTCCCTCTCTGGCTCCCCCTGAGATGTTATGTCTTCAGCCCCAGGCTCTGGTTCCAAGGGTAGGGAGGGAGGTTTCTGGAGCTGGGCTGAGCATCTATCTGAAACATGAGAAATCATTCGATACAGATATTAGATTTTTTAATGGCACTGCCTTCCCTTTTACCATATCCCACACCACCTCCACTATCAAAGTAGCTACTGACCATCCCTACTGATTCTGACTCTACAGCTTTCTGACCTGAAGTCTGATTTTAAGGTTTGGCCCCACAGCAATGTATACCTCCACCAGAAGGAAGATTCATCCTCTCTCTAACCCGTCAAATTCTTTCCGTATTTTAAATACCTCAAATCAAATCACCCCTTAACCTTCTTTGCTCTAAGGAATATAACCTCAGTTTACTCAGCCTTCCAGTCTCTTCACCTCAGGTATTAATCTAGTGAACCATTACTGGGCACTCTCCAAGCTAATATTAAACTTCCTAAGATTGGATGTTCAAAATGGAACACAGTGCACAGACCCATCACTGAAGGCAAAATAACCAAAGGAAATTAGGCAACCATAAGCGTGTTCTGTACCTGCAATGAACGGTATCAGTTTGCTGCAGTACAATCAGCAACTGTTGAATCCTAGTTTCAGGCCTGAGCTGCTACGTACCTGTGGAGAGTTGTATGTTCTTGCTGTACCCTGCAGCTGAGGACATGGCCTGGCCTAGAGCCTGGTTGGAGCCCAAGGGCTGCTGAGTAGAGCTGGGCTTCCCAGCACTTGCTGAGCGCTGTTTTGTTTTTGAGTCTTTGGCTGGTTTTGTCCAAACCAGATTCTCCCCAACTTGCAGGGCGGCCCCAATCTTCTGAGCCATGTCTACAAGCTGAGTGCAGCCAGGGGGTAAAAGAGAACATTCTATCACTGAATAGCTGGATTATTCCGTTATGTGTCTACGCACAGCCCTGGATATACACAGAAATAATTTTATGCAAAAGAAAAAAGTTTCCGCTGAGCAAAACTGGAAGAGGCAGGTGGTCAGTGTTATATGTATACTTAACTACATCATTATGAACACCAGGAACTCATTGACCTGCTGTGTTTTCCTACAATTTGTCACTACCCGAGACAATTCTACGTGAAAAACTAAGACGTTTCAACTTTATAGGTGTTACATACATCATGAAGGATTATAAAATCAGGAATTGGGAAAGTACCTCTGGATCAAACTCAATGGTGTTGCTGCTGTCTTTCAGTTTATTGACTTTCTTTTCCATTTCCTGGTACTGGTTCAGAGCTCGCTTCTTGTCCCCTTGGTTGTAGAGTAAGATGGAATAGTTTAAATTCACCAGTGGGTTTGACCTGCACAGTACAGAGAGCTTTAACGTCCAGACAAAAGACACCAAAGAATCAGAATGTTACAGCACAGAAACAGACCATCAAGTCGATGCTGCTGTGTTCTGCATGAGCCGCATGGTCTTAACCCCACTCTCCAGATTGATCCTTTAATATTTCTCTCTAGCAGAGAATTTCACATTCCAATCACCCTCTATTTATAAAGATTTTTTTTCTAATCTTCCCTTTAATTTCTTGGTTATCTTAAATTTGTGTTGTCTCCTTAACGACTCACCTACCATGGAATTACCTTTAACCTATCACAACCTTTCATAATCTTTAAAACCCCGATCACCTTTCTCAACTCAAGTGAAAAAGCTCCAAATTATTATGCAACTTCATAATTGAAAGTCCATATCCCTGGTAATATCTGAATGAATCAATGCTACACCTTTTCTATTACTGATATGGTAAGGCTGTGAGGGCTATTTAGCATTTGACAGAAAAATTTTCAGTTAGACAGCTTTTTTGCTGAACCTTTAACAGACAAAACCGTAACCTGCTCACTCACTGGTCTAGGGCCACTGCTTGCTCGTACGATCTCTTTGCATTGTCAGGATCCTCCAAGTTCGTCAGTGCCACTAGAATGGAACAGAGGATCATCAATTACCACTGAAAACCACTTAACCAGCTTGTATTCACATTATACTGGATACCAGCCTGCTGACATTGTAGTGCATTCAGGAAATACTGAATAGGTGAATTTACTTATTGAAGTTATATAAATATTGGAAACAGATCAGTAGATGATTCTGGGATCAAATCAGCTCTCAATTACTGCAAACTGTACAACTGAATCCAGATATCAAAACACACAATACTGTAGATTCTAGGAATCTGAAAAAACAGAAGTTGCTGGGAACACTCAGCAGGTCAGGCAGCATCTATGGAGAAAGGAAAGTGAGTCAATGTTTCAGATCCACGACCCTTTGTCTGACGAAGGGTTGTGGACCCAAAACATTGACTCACTCTCCTTTTTCCATAGATGCTGCCTGATTTGCTGCATGTTCCCAGTGACTTCTGTTTTTATTTTCTGAATTCAGATATTGTTATACTCGGTTTTGATTAAGAAGTGAATCTGAGCACAGTTGCCCTGTATGGTTCTTTCAACAGCATAGGGTAGATGGGAGTATGCCTGTTTATGGCAGTTCTTCCAGTGCTCATCTGATTTACTGAGGCATAAATGTAGGGATTTAAACACTACCATGTTTTTAAAGTGATCGCCTTCCACACTCACCAGCCAACAGCATGTACAACTCCCCCATCTTTGGATGTAAACTGATGGCTGCACTCAGGAAGTGGAATGCAGATGCAAATTGCTGCATTGTCAAGTGAACTAATCCCAGGTTGTAGAGAATCTTCCAGTCAAATGGAGCCAGATAATTTGCTCGCTTCAAACAGCTGATAGCCTGAGAGTGACACACAGCAAAAGTCGTTAGTTACTATTAGTATTAGCCTTTAGTAAAATAACTAAGCAGGTATTTAAGAGTTATTAAGGTAGATCAGAATCTCACTATGTAAGTGATTAACAAGCAGTTAATGTAGTTACTAAAAACGATTTAACTTTTACTAATATAATTTACAATCTGCAATTGTCACTTTGCACTCATTCACCAGCTTTGTTCTGCCCTGACCACTGGTGCCTCCCACTGTTTGAGCCTCACCCTCATCTGTCCTTCTCGATTGCAAATTGAGTCATTTGCAGGGGTATGGGCAAGTAAAGGAACTCACTGGGACTCTTTCAAAGAGCCAGCACAGATATGATGGTTTGAATGGCCTTCAGTGCTGTAAATTGCTATAGCTCTATTGTTACTGGACATATGCCATATTCTTTCCATCCACCAGGGCTCATTGAATTACTTCTGCATTCTGATGTGTGACCAGAACGCAGCGACATCTGGATTGTATTGCTAGCGGAAGAAGATGACGGTACAATGAGAGTTTTGAATAGGTCACCAATGTCACAAGACACACAAAGGAGCAAAGAGTATAACCAACCATGTGTAAAAGCTTTCCATTGTGACTTTCCTGAAAAGCTTTATGATGTAAGTTGAGGCTTTGAGTGAGGTAATGATTGAGCTCCCCATTTTACTTACTGCAACATATTTCTTCTTTCCGAAAAAGCACATGCCAATGTTGTTCCAGAGAGGTGGGCTTTCAGGGCTGGAGTGCGCTGCTACTCTATACTTGCTCAGTGCAACATCAAAGTCACTGTGTGTCTGCATCATACTGCCAGCAGCCAGGATTGCCTGTGTGAGAGAAAGCACAGAATGAGGCATTGCCCCAGCTCAGCATTTGGAAAAAAGGTTGTGCTAAAATGTTACCCATTCTCTCAGCTTTACTGATTGACGTGCTGAGGACTTCCAAAGTTTATCTCATAATTCTATCACAACTTTCTATAAATTCTACAGAATTACAAGTGTAAACCTTGCCCTCCTAAATATATAGGAACTCTATTCAATAACAGGTCAACTGCTATGCTACGTAGAACTTCCTCAAGAACTCTGAGGAATTTCAAGATACACAATTCGAACAAGGAATGAATACTATCTCATTACTGTACCAGTTACTGGAAATGACAAGTCAGAGACAACAGGGTATTCTAAAATGTTTCATACCTTATAGTTGTTGGAGTCATAGGTAAGTGCATTTCCAAGATGCTCAAAAGCTTTCTGGTATAATCCAAGCTGCATAATCACAAACATGATTTGTTGCTTCCTTTTTTTTAGTAAGTTATTGTGTGAATGCAATCAAGATTTGATATAAGGGGTGCTATATTGCAAGGAATAATTCATTCATAAGAAACATTCAAAATTAATTCCAGTTAGACAGAACAAAATATCTCAATGTCAGAATGTTAGGCCATTTTGTATAACTTGCAATGGGACATTAAAACTAAAATAACTTCTGCACACTCTTCTCTTCACCCACAACCAATATTCTGCACCTGGATTAACTGTGTGTGCTCAATGCAAATGTATGAACTGATACATGACATTTCTATTAAATTGCCGTGACCACACATCAGTCCCATTCCAACTCCAGTAAATGTCATGCACCCACAAGCTGAAGCATTGCTGAACTGCTCTTAAATATTTCTAGTGATTTAAGGAGTGTCCAAACAGACATTGTGTGAGTGAGTGGAATTCAATAGAAAATAACTAATGGTTACTTAGTTACAGTCCAATAACAAACTCCTTTGAAGGTGTATTTACAGAGACTCACAACAGGTACAAAGGATTCTGTCACTATGCTTTGGTTCTACAAGTCTAGGCTCTCTGTCTTACCTGCAGGTACTGTAGTCCCAAGGTTGTCAGGAGCTCTGCATTTTCAGGAGAAAACCTAAAAGGAAAAATCAAAAGGTTTTAGTTGCATAGAATCTATATCAGTAAAACAAGCCATTTAGTCACCACAGACACGAGCTACCCTTCATAGCAAATCTTGTAAAGTGTGTTGAGGTGTACTCCTGCTGTAAAAGATGCTATACCAATAAAGCTTATGCATCATTATAATGTTAATTACTGGCAGCTGCTCAGTCACCCACCAGCCCACTCTTTAGATAGTTTTGTCCTATTATCTAGACCCATCACTACACATTCTAATTTATAATTATTAAACTTAAAATCTAGATTTTACACTGGAATTTTTTTCAATAACCATTCATTAATTAACTTAATACAGGAAAGATTTCAATACCAGTTTAGGATTTCCTGTAGTCTGTTGCAATGCAATACTCGCCGGAGCAGTCTACCCTTTTATGGAAACTTCGTACTTACTCCACCGCTTTCTTGTAAACTTCAATGGCTTCCTCAACATTTCCATCGAGTAAGTGCACCTTGCCGAGCATTACAAACGACAGGTCATGTTTGCTGTGCTGCAACGCACAGTTCAAATGCTCCTTAGCCTGGCAAATGGAACATAAATTGGTAGAATCAAAGAATAACCAAGCATTTAATCAACCACAACAACTTGCATTTATATAGCGCCCCCCCCACGCAGGGTAGCATCTTGGAGCGCTTAACAGTGGCAGAGCCTGACTCAGAGCCGAGGGGGCGGGGGGTTGGAGGTGGCTGTAAGCACGGTCGAAGAGGAAAATTTTCAGGTGGGACTTGAAAAAGGGGATAGAGAGGGCAAGGCGGAGGGATTGAGAGAGAGTGTTCCAGAGTTTTGGGGTGTAGTGGCTGAAAGTGCGACCTCCAATGGTGGGGCGGAGGGTGCGATGGACAAGCAGGAGGCCGGTTCCAGTTGAGCGGAAGAGCCGGGTGGTGGATTGGGTAGTGAGGAGGTCGGAGACCGGAGAGGTCGGTGCCAGGGAGTGAATGGATTTGAACACGAATGTGTGGATCTTGAAGTCGATTTCCTGTAGTCTGTAATTATGTAACATCAAGCACTAGTGTTTTCATGGTGTAATTATTTGGCCCACGTTGAGCCATCACATCGGAGTGTTTGACAAATAGGGAGAAAAGGTTTGGCAAATCAAATACCTTCTCAAAGTCCTTCAGGTACATGTAGCAGACACCCAGATTGTGCTCAATCTCCTAGAAATAAAAAAGGGAAGAGATATTAGCATGCGTACTGGATAAGCAAACCAGTTCCAGAAATTCACTTGCTCCTTAAAAAAATCTTCCAGTAACAATAAAAGGAGTTTGTTTTCCAACAGAATGAAAAACGGATTGTTATTATTTATTCATGAGTGAGGCTTCCCCAATACACTGATACTCTCTAAATCATTCCCAAGCAATCTGAAAAACATTATATTTTATTCTGTAAGGCAAAAAATTAATCTAAAATGTTGGAAATCTGAAACAAATAGAGAAACGCTGAAAATATACAGCAATATTATTTCTTCCCATGTTTATTTTTGCAAGTGTTTATTTATGACGTACTGAAAAAACATTAAATATTCATTTATGTCTGGAAATGGAGTGGAATTAGTTAAAGAGGCACAGAGCAATGAACAAAGGCATTAATGTACAAGGATGAGAACAGGGTATTAGTTACCATGGCACAGCACATATTAGTTATTGTGACCTGTACAAAACAGGAATTAATTTGTGCCACCAAGATTGAAGCAAAAGACGCTAGTGTCCCAAAGAATGATTGAAATGCAGCAATAAGACTCAAAAGGATTAGACGTTCCACGGTAACTCTTTCAATGTCACTCATCATAAAAATATCAATTTATGCACAAGCTGATTCACGATTCAGACTATTTTGCTGACACACCTACCCAGTCCTTTTCGTTTAACCTGGCTGCTTCATTGTAAACTTCAATCGCTGACTTGTGTTTCCCAAGTAAAAACCTGCATGCAAAGCACAATGGTCACAATTACCTTCCACCTCGCTGCAGGTGTGTAGCTTTCACAAGAGAAGGCTTGTGAGGGGCAATCCACAGCCCAGTTCGGTGGAGAATGATTTTGGGATTATTGTATTGCAGCTTCAATATATGCTGTGACACAGATTACTTACAGAGATCTGGCTACTTGCTTGAGATTGTCCAGATTCTGAGGATTCAGGATTGCACACGTCTGGAACAGCTCAAGAGATTCCTGAATCTTTCCTTCCAAACGAAATATCAGAGCTGAAACACAATCAATAAATCATTCTCAACACTTATGTGCTCCGTGTAAGTGGACGTGAAATAACCTGGCTGTTTATGAAAAATGTTTGAGACTGGAACATGCTGCACTTTTGTCTTATCAATAACTAATAGTTCACTTTGACATTCAATTGAATTATGAATAATTGGGAAGTGACATTTGTACATAAACTATTCATGAATATTATTGTTAATATTTGGAGAGATAAAACATCACATGGAAATGGGCTTCTTGCCTCTGGTCTCCTGACAATAACTCGCATTTATATGGCGCCCTTCACGCAGGGTAGCATCTTGGAGCACTGACTTAAGTCATCAACCTCTTGTCTGCTCGCTCCAGTAACTGAGCCAATATGTCTCACTGCTTGACTGTCAGCGTTGCTTTTATACCCTGCCTCTGTTCACTGACCAAAGCTACCTCTAGAATATGGCTTGCTTGTGTCTTTATCTCAACCCTTCCACAGATGAAGCACTTACCATTTTCTTTGTTACCTCAGGTTACACTTCTCCAATGCGCTCCTTGCTGATCTCCCTAATTAGACTTCGACAAATTTGAACTCCATCAAAACTACTCTTATCTTTCCCTTTGATATTGATTGTTCAAGAAAAGCATTGTGTATGTGCAAGCTGTTGTTGCTAAGCAAGGGAGGCTAAGGCCAGTTGTAGCAACCCCACCACACTTATCTCATACAAGACTAGTTAATTTTGCACAGACCATAGAACATGGGCTGGAACTTGGTATTTTCTTGGTTTGTCTGGCTCAACAATATACTGAATTTACTTACTGAGCCATGGGGGAAGAGCTTAGAATTGTTAACTTCAAATATGTTTTCCCCCTGCGACACTGTTTGAAGACTGTTCCGAGTTCTCACCTTGCACATAGATAGCATATTCACACATGCCCTGGGTCTCCTGCAGCTGCTCTTTTATTATAGTCTGAAAAACAATGCACAAAACTTTGGTACACCATCACTCAGTGAACAGTATCTCAGCCACAGCTAAACCCCACCTACTAGCAAACAGTGATAACAGCAGACATCCAAGAGTGCGGGAACATTAAACACAGTGCAAGATAAGCAGCAGCACTGACTGCACAGTGAGCTTGTACAATTCAGTAGTTTTATATCGCAACAAATCCCTCACCAGCAAAATGTATATTGGAGCTACACTTATAAACACCACACATGTTTGAGGGTTTCCATAACTAAGTTTTCAGCTCATGAAAGGTGAAAGAAAAAAAGGCTACTGTGTGCAACTGTTCTGCTGGGTTTAACTACAAATACACAATCATTCTATTTCACCATAATTCCCGTGAAGTATTCTGAGATATACTTCCAACATAAGGTGTTACACCAAATGCAAGGATTATTATTATTTGTGAGGTGAATGACCAATTTATCTGGTGGATGGTTTGCCAAGGCACCGGGAGAAACTTCCTTCTCTTTTTGAACAGTGTTATGGGATCTTTAATATCCACCTGAACATGCAGACAGACTATCAGAGATTACTATCTAGTGACCCTTACGGGTAAGGCGCACGTGTCGATAGTGACTGATGCACCAGATTAGGCTTGGTTGCAATAATCCCACCGGGCAAGCAGCCAACACTCACTGTCCAAAACATGGAGCAAATGAACAACCTGCGGGGTATGGATAATACCAGATGTCTTGCCCAGTACATATGATCACCCTTGTAATGGGATACACCATAATAGAAGCCAAGATCATGGTACCTGCTAGAAAAAGCAGATGGCATATGGGAACAAGGTTTTCCATTTTAGAGGGTTTACACACATTGGCATCGCTCCAGTCAAGCAGTGTGGAGAGCCCTCCATTGGACTCTGAAGTAGCTTAAATGAAAACCAAAATGCTTGTAGTCAGGAGGCTATCTTATACTAATAGTTATTCTTGGTATTTGAGTATTTTTACTATTGTTAACCTTAGTATTTGTTTGGAAACATTATTAAAAATGACCAGTCCTGGGAATATAGATTCTCTGGATCTGCTGGCTGGCTTAAGAGTTAAGCTTCAAAACTTGCATTGTCGGGGCCCAAATCCATGTTTTTTTAAAGCTAAAACATCATCACTTAAACCACTAAAAAGAGTTAAGTTCCCAAGATATGAGAACACAGGAACGTACATGCAACTTTCAGTGCAGCATGTTCAGACCTGTACTTTACCTTGCACGTTTCATAATCTTTCCTGATGTAATGTAAATGTATCAACCAATTCCTTCTTTCCAGGATGGGCAACTCTGCCACTGTGTGAAAGACATCAGCAGAACAAAAAACAGCTTTCAGAGACAATCCAACAAAGCACCTTTCCTTTTGTACCATCTCACACACAGATGTATAGTAGAAGCTTGAGCAAGCACATTTCTACTTCCCTCCCTCCCACGCTGACACCATTCACTTCAGAAATTCAACATTTATTACCGTAGAACAAAAAGATTTAGTTCACTTGCTTATGTATAGCACGCAGAGTTGACACTCAGAATATCTCATTATTAGAGCTGTCAACTGATCTTGTCTATGGATTTCACTGAAACCGTGAGTGCAGAAAGCTGCTCCACTGACAAACACATTCCATGATGTAGCATCTGCTCAGTACAAATTATACATTCGCAGCTGAAACCTGAAATTAATTCAAAACCATCACCCGTGGAGACTGATTCTTGCACAGGAGCCCACAGGATGAATAATTCAAAAGGTCAGATTTGCCGGTGTATGGATCTCACAAGCCTCATATTCTCATAACACTAAGATTCTCCAGTCACAGAAATTCCCAGCCCACACAGATTCCAAATTACTGAGATTCCCTTCCCATAGATTCCCAAACGACTGAGATTTCCTTCCCACAGAAAGGCTGCAGCTTGTATTTTCAGCCGAGGTAAAATAATTTGAAGACCAATAAAGTAGTTAGCAATCAGTGTAGAAATACCAAGACAGAAGATCAAAAGTGAAGGCTCTGAGGTACCAGAGACCAATGTCAGGAAGATTTAAGGGACATCAGTGATAGCCATTTTATATCACATTTTGATATAACGGGTGTGATTTTTATGGACAAAATCACTGCATTATACAGGGTGTTTGACTGTATTGTGCCTATTCAGTCCTTGGTGCTACTTTCGAAAGTCAAGTGTTAAGATTCTCAGTTACAAAGCAACCCCCTTTGCCAGCTTTAAATAACGCTTTTGATCAGAAACTGACCTGCTTAAAGGAGATGAGACCTAAAGGAGTGCAGACTTTCCTATAATGATGACAATCCTTGTATTTGATGTAGTGCCTTATCACATCATCAAAATGTCTCAAAGCACTTCACAGAATTAATGGTAAAGTGTAGCAACAATGCATTTATAGGCAAACCAGATGTTGGGTCTTGAATCCAAAACCTCCCGAGTCTATTCTGGACTGCAGGCTAAGGGAAATGTATCTGAGATGCAGACAGTTGACAGCCAGAGTGAAGTTTGTGACAGTCTTGATTCCTGAAACATCTGCCAACCTTGAGAAGCAGCTGAACATTGTTCACATCACCCTTTCTCATTCAGTTTCCCAGAGAAGAAGGCAACTTATAAGATGCTGTAGTTTCTGGACTGCTCACACAGAATACAGTCTGTAGATAAATTACATTCTTTACCACCATTTATTGGCATCCAGTTAAGAATGTGTGTGCACCTTCACATGTATATACACAAAACACAAACAGGAAATACAAGAAAATATAGGCAGCCATTCTTGCCATCATTTACCTTTCTTTGGTCGGGGTTTACGTATTTCAGCTGAAAGCTGAGGGCCATCTGGAATCTGAAATCAAGAGATATATTGATCAATCTACTCCATTATTTTCCTCAGTCTTCTCAACAACCTGCTTGTGTCAGACTTAGCTAACTCCCCCAAAAATATTTCTGACTCACCGACGCTTTCTCTTGCTCTTCCATTTTCTCTTGGATTAGATGTCAGTCATTCAAGCAACACTGAGCAGGAAAGATCGGCAGCCTCCTGGCGAGCACTAGAAATCCATTCAGAAGTAACAGCCTGTTTAATTAGCTAGGACATTCAAACAAATAATTTACTAATACTAAGCTTTCAAAATGTTATATTTCATCTCTTTAAACTTCATTGTCAGATGCTAACACTGTAAAAACTATTTTCATCCTTTTTCTACTTTGTTTCTGTATTTGAAGGCATTGATTATATTAATATCCTTTACATTAGATATTTATCAAAACATCTCAAAATTGGTTGATTATTTGTGGATAAATAAGGCAGCCATTTTGCACACAAAAAGGTCCCACAAAGACACATCAATCAAAAAAGGGTTATATGATTTTAGGAACCCAATGCACGTTCTGTGTCCCAAGCTTTGAGTCTCACCAACCTGTCCTTAACACCCTGCAGATTTATTGCCTAATAACAGGGTGCATCTCCTCCAGGGGAAAAAATATGCAATCCATTCCAGAGATAGGGAAATTTCTTTGTGCGGGTGGAATTCTGTCAAGTTTGGGTACTTTTAAGCATGGGATGTAGTATGTATTTCTGCACAACAGCCACCCAGAAAGAAATCATGAGATCCTTACAGGAAGGACAGCATCGGGCAGGAGTTCTGCGTTGTAAGGAATTATTGGGACAAAAATCCCTCCCAACGGAATGTCAGTCTGGACAATTTTTTGTAACAACTCTTGCATTTAATAACAGCACCTTTCGGGTCTGGCGGATGTCTCAAAAGCTCGTCACAGCATTCCCGTAAAGCGTAGCGGCTATTCCGGACCCAAACTGCGCCCAAATCCCAACAAGAGGCGAGAACCCAGAACCTTCTGACTCGGAAGATAAGACTCTCAACCATGAGGGGGGGTGGGGGGGGGGGGGGGGGAGTAGACTTGACACAACGAGACAATAAAATGGCCCTTTTGGCATCGGGGGACGTCTCAAGTGCTTTTACCAACTTGGCCGCTAAGAGGAAAGAAGGTCATAGACAAAGAAACACGGGTGTGGACGAATGTTGACGAGGTCACTGGGTGCAACCGGGCGCTGATATGACGTGTGGTCGCCAGGGGTTTGATGGAGAGGACAATGGCCTCCCAAGTCCGCAGCCCGGCCCCGGGTTCCGCGCATGCGCCGATCCACAGCCTCCCCGCTCGCCACCGTTGCTATGGGCAACCGGTCAGCCTCCACGCGCCTCTCTCTCTTTGAATCACCCGCCGCCACGGTTCAAACTGCTCGACCGGTCGCCTACCCTGGCGGCTGCTATCGTTCGAGAGGAGCAACTTGGGCCTCACGGCGGCGCCCGCCCGCCCGCCCTCGCCTGCCGCGCGCCCAGCGGCCGCCCCTCAACCGGAGCCGCTCTGCACCGCGGCCATTACTCGGCGTGTGCTGCGCAGGCCGCCGCGCGCATGCGTGCGGCCGGGGCCGGCGCGTACGTCGCAGTGACGTCAACACGCCTCAGCCACGTGGTACTGCCCAGCCCAGCAATGGCAACAGTCTCAGAAGAGCAGGTGCCCAGCACTGGTCAGGGCAGCCACTGCCACTCCCACAGCCACTCCCTGGGGACAGCTGCACCTTCTTTTAACCAGAATTTTAAGTCCAGAATCCAACAGGGAAGTGGGAATCATTTTTCTTTGCTGCCGCTGACACGGGCAGGTGACTGCCGGGATGGTGGAAGGCGAACTGGATGGACTTCGGTCCTTTTTTGTCTTAGCAATTTTTACGAAAAGTTCATTGAAAACCTCAGCTCTTCCACCCCACCCCCACCCGTCAGTCTTGTGAAGCACTTTGCGGCATTCTGCTCATGTAAAAGGCGCTATACTGTCTAAGTAATAATTCTTGAGTTTGAGATTGCACCTTATCACGTTCATTGAGACATCTTAAACCACTTCACAGTGAAGTGGATTGACTGCATTTTGCAGGCGCTATACTGTATAAGTGATTTGTTTTTGTAATGCCTTGCTTTGAGTTAAAAAAAACTTTTTAGTTGCATCCGATTTATACTTCACGAGTCAGATGATAATCTGCCTACAACCCTATCACTGCATAACCTAAACCAAATACACTTTCCTGAATAATTAAACTACATCATTCGATTAGGTCCCAGGGAGCGTTCTCCTAGGAATTTCCACCCATCTCACCATGCGCGAGTATGAGTACGCACAGCATTAGTAAAAGGGAAACAGGAACATTTCTGACTGCCTTAGATTGGAAAATTTAGTGCCATACTGGGGAGTGGTGCACTGTCAAGAGTTGCCATTGTTTGGATGTGGGTTATTAATTGAGGTCTCATCTGATTATTCATGTGAGTTAAAAGCTTACAGTTTGAAGAGTTGGAATTTCTCCTGGTATTCTACCCACTATTTAGTTTATCCAAAATAAGCTTCTTGCTGCAAGATGGTGGTTGGACAGATGGCAAGCTTTGCTTTCAGTGTACAATGTCAACAATTTACCTTACCAGTAGCTCCCCCACAAAGATGTGTTTTCCAGCTTTGTGCTTGATAAAAAACTGAATTCAGTAAAATTATAAAACGTGGTTCCTTATTTGTCAAAAGTGCATTTATTGCGTTTAAAAGTTTCACTGTGTTTAGTGCCATGTACGTCTGTAACTAGAGCATTTCTTAGGCCTAAACACGCACTAGCCCTAATATATACTGTGTATAATTGTTCAGTAACTGTTCCGACCTGGACTGTATGAGAATACATTAAGGCAGAACCAAATGGATTTGTTTCATTTTGGTCCGAAAAACCCAGCACAAGTTGAAGGATAATTTTTTAATATAAGAAATAGAATTCTTATATAATCCACAGGAACAGACAACCTCCCCCGCTCTGAGGTCAAGGCATTTGTGCCAATTTCAGGGGACTGTAAAGTGGTTAGAATCTTATACTATTATACAAATGTCTAAGGGGAGCCTAAACTAATCCTTCTGTTACATCGAGGGGCAACTACATGGAGAAGCTAAGAAAAACGGGTTAAAAAGTTACCTTGATTTCATCTGCAATACACTGTACAGGTTGCACTAAAACAGGGATTGACCTGGTTACTCACTTACTGCTTAAAGATCCTCCAAATAGCAGCAATGTACATCACATATACATACAAGGGACACTGCACATCTATCTATAGTATTAAAATCTATGCACAAAAGTGACCTTCACTTCATGACTGTACGTGGTGGGCCTTGGGATTGCAAGATTCCTGTCTGAGGAACTAGCCATCCTGCCTGGTTTGTTTGATTTGTTGCAATTCCTGGTGAGAATGAGCTAAAATTCACTTGGTACTCTCTCTCCAATCAACTGAATTGTATGTTTACACGTTTTGCTTTTTTTTCTCTTCTCTGCTCCCTTACAGTTACTGAGTCATACTAAGCACCTCCAACTGCAGCTTCAAATAAAGAATGCTACAATAAGCAGTCTGCTTACTCAACCAATTTTGTAGCCAAATGATTACGTTTCTTGGCTGCTACTGAGACTTTGCTAAATTGCCAGTCATTTTCTTGGCTGGTGTGTTAATTGGAGCACAGCATAGAAGTAATCTTTCCCATGTGGGAGGACAGGGTGAGATGAGGGGAGGTTGGAATTCAGCACTGGAGATTGCATTCTCTGGGAGCAGTGATGATGGCAAGTTCTGAGGATCCCAGGGCACAAAGATTTCCACTCCCCCAACCTAACTGAATGCGTGCACAGTACCAAGAGCTCCAGACCTTTCCCTTTGCTTATAGTAGGATGTGTGAAGGGGAGAAGGAAGTTGAACGCTGTAATAATTTTTCAAAAAAATCCACCATCTTTAAAACCAGTTTTACTACTTTGCAAATCATGTCCAGCAGGTAATGCACATTAGCTGTGATTTGACGCATTGGTTCACTAACACACGCAGCAACGCCCTTGGCGTTTTAAGCACTGCACTCAACCCCACCCACACCCCCATGTACTGGAAACCACGCCAGGGGTTACCCAAATTAAACCTTTATCATCAGTAAATGCTTTACAATGGTGTAAGTTTGCATGGATTCATCCATAACAGCTACAAATCTTATGAGAATTTGACAATACATTGTCCCAGTGCAACAAAAAGAAAATAAACCCAAATAAAAATCATTCCACAGCAATAAGAATGGGGCTAAGGAACCCAGCCACAGATCTTATCAACATTCCTCTCTTTGGTTTATACAACCAATTAAATGGCAGAGAAGGACAATACCACTAACCATTGCTTGCAGCCTGGGTTTGGTTGCTAGTCTAGAACACAGCAGTCTGCCAGTACTCAACCCCACAGCAACAATCCTTCAAGCCTACTCCCAAACACAGGGACAGCAACATACAGGCAGATCACAGCAGTGGATAAAAGTGGGTAAGGGTGGGAAGGGAGGAAAGAGAAGCCAGGTGCTGTCTTCCTTTGAATGCTAATTATCAGTACTCGCTCTAATTTCCAACAAAATCTGTACAATTTTAGGGGGTATTCTACAGCAACACAGAAATGAAAAGCGGTGAGCGTTCTTCCTCCGAAAGCAGAGCGAGAGATGTTAGTACGAGGGGTGCAGCTGGGTACAAAAGCAGCAATGAAACGGGAGCAGAAGTGGGGGGAACGAGGGAAGGTTCACATCAGGGAAACCCATCACCATCACAGACTCAGCTCACGTCCAAGATACAGCTAGAACTGCAGAGAAGTACAAGTTAAAGGCTGGGGGGCGGGGGGGGGAGGGGAGGCGGAGGGAAGGAGGAGGATGGGGAGCAAAAAGGAGGCAAAGATAAATCCACATTCCACTAACAATGCTGAGGTCAAAGATTAGCGAAACTAAAGAAAACTGCACAGCAAATATACATATTCTTGAAGGTTTTTAAAGAATAAATATTTTGTAATTAAACATTATGCAAACACGTGCTCGCTTGTTCTTGCTCAACCATGCAGATGTGCTATATACAATTTGAAAAATACTGTGTCCTCCTTTAAAAGTCATGTACAAAGATTTCCCCCAGAGCGCTGCCTTACTTTAAGCCAATCAACAGTCACAAAACAGGGAACCTGCATACAATTTGTGTCTGGCTGGAGAGGAATGCCAGGTCAAAACAGTTTCAGTCCAATTACTACACACAGACAAATGAACAAATGAAAGGAAACAGAAAATGGTTCAGCTCTCAGAATGTAGCTACATTACAGATTAAAGTTGGAGGGTTTTAGTGTGTCATCATACCCTTCATCCACTTACAATACTGTTGTACATTTTGTGGTTTTTATCTACTTTTTTTTATTACAATATAATTTACTTAAACTTTCCATTAACAAAAAGTAGGGTAGAACTCCAGCAGTGTCTGCAAGGGCCTGTGCCGCCCACTTTATTTGCATCAGCACTCTGTTGCTAACGAGTTGACAGTTCATTGTAAGATGATCCTCAGTCCTCGATGTACTCCCAAAGGTCTTTCTCATAACCTTCATGCACATGCTGTAGCAACACCTTCCTCCGGCTCTCACAGTATCTGTCAAAAGAAACAGGATAGTCAGTCTGAAGACACAAACAGCACGGAAACCCAACAGTCTGGTATAAAAGAGCCGTCTGGTATAAAATGTACATCACACAGACAAAAGAGCACAAAATGAGCAAAAACCCGGTTGCCAGGCACTGCATAGTCAAAATTGGAAGTGACATAGACTGATAACAATATGCACTCTTGTTAATAGCCACACATCACAGTTGGTACCTGACAAGTACTGGAAACGCTCTGTCGTCTACACTGTGTAAAACCACCAGGCACATCTCGTAACCACCCAAATAAATTTAGAGATGGTGAAAAACTATAGGTGTTGCAAATCTGAAATTAACATAACAGTTTTGTGCTTCAAGTAAGACTCTAGAGACGTTTGCCTGCAGGGCACACTGTACAATTCAATTTCGGAGGGAAGTGTTGGAGTTTACAAAGTGGGAACTTAAAAAAAAAATCTCCACCATCAATATGATCTAGTTTTATCTAGTCTTGATTTTGACAGCTAGACACACAATGAAAGTGCTTGAGATGGAACTCTCTGTAATGCCAGGTACTTTGCCTAACAGAAGCAACTGGGAAAGTATTAAACCAATAGAGCATCACTTGTAAAAAGTTACCTAAATTGACCTGCGTGCCACTGAGCTGTATCTCAAACTCCACATCTAATCTATCCCCAAGACTACTGTATCTGTTTCCACCTCCTTACATCCTTACCACTGCCCCCACTTGAAAATAAATGTCCATGTCTTCAGGGTGGATTTTTCCAATACTCACTGAGTCAGCTTCACTAGTTCAACTCCACTGAATCCAGAACTTTGCAGCCCAAGTTATCTCCCACACACTAACTAATCCCATCCTCAACAAACTCCAGATTGCATGCCACTGTCCTCTGAAACTCTTCTGAAATCATTTTACTGTCTTTCTCCAATCTTCAAGTCTCCTATAGCCTATCCGATCAACTGTGCTTTTGGTTGACATTCTTAAATCTCTAATTTTCCTGCTCTGTCACAACCGCTCTATTTCTCAAGAGCTTCAAGTCATTCTGTTACATGAGAGGCACAACACGAATGCCAATTGTGATATTAACCCCTCCTAGACTGGGCATCCTGAAGCCTGGAAAATTAACCTCTTAAGCAAAGAGAGCAGAAAAGTGCATGGTAGATTTGAAGAGAGAAAAGATTGAGCAGTTCACTTTTTCTCCATTGCAGAGCATATACCTTTGTGTGAGTAGCTTTACGTCAAGAGCATAGAAATTTACAGCACAGGAAGGCATTTGGCTCACATTTCTGTGTTGGGTCTCATGAAAGAGATATCCATTTAGTCCCATTCTCTTGCCTTTTTCCATTGCTTTTAGATGTCTGCTTTTTGAGATATTTGTTTCATTTCCTTCTAAAGCTAATATGGATTCTGTCTCAACCGCAGGGACATTCCGTGTCCCAACAATCCCACTGTGTTGTTTCGTTTAACCTCTCCCACTGCTCTGGAAGTAATTACTTTGAATCTATGCCCCTCAGAAGATTAGTTACCCAGTTTTCAAGATTAGCAGTTTGAGATCAACAGTGGCCACAAGCAAAGTAAGGATGAATCAGTTTAAGCAGCTATGTTTTATCCCATGCTGAGATCAAAGTTTTAGCTGGGTTCTCAGTGCCAAGCATATTTCATAAATCAATAGATCAAGAAGTGACCCAATGGATAACAGCATCATATAGACAGATCAAATAGCTTTGATTTCTAGGCTCTGTTTGGCTATTTTAGTTGATTTGTGCCAGGGCACTACAATTGGTGACCCTGAGCTAGGGAAGAGACAAAAATCTTCTGGAGTTCACAGCTGGATGACTGCTGAATGTCTTCTGGTGCATGTCAGGTGAGAAAGGGATTGAGATCAACCCAAGTGTGTACAGGCCTACAGTTGAAGAACAGCCACTCAGTCAAGGTGATGGCGGTGTTCTGTGGAACTTAACCTCAGAAAATTGGGAGACACAAAACGAAAACATTCCATTCACAAACATAACCTGCAGGGGCACTTTGATCATGTATTAAAGGAGAGGGAAGGAACACGGGAAGGAGAGGTTAATCAGTACCATTCAAGAGGACAATGAAATCAACCTCCAGCTCACCTGTACTTGTCTTGTACTTTCTGTTTGATGTCCTGCAGAGAGTCCTGGGATATGTCCCTCTCTAGGTAGCCAGACAGCACTTCTGTTGCATTCTCCAAATCTGCCTGATTGTTCTAGGGAGACAAACACATTGTGCCCATAGCAAATATGAACTATCATCCCATTCCACAGAGCAGACCATGCTCTGTTTGTACCATCAGTTCCCCTCACCCAAGTCAATGGGTAAATTATCTTTACTAGGCCAACTTTGGCTTGACAGTCTTCTCAACTGTATTTGATTAAAAATAATCTAGAATCTATGGAATAAATAATAATCCTTGCAACTGATCCTTGTACAATCCTGCTACAGATGAACTTGCGTCAGAGTGCAGCGTCAGACCAGCCTTCTTAGCATTGTGAAATGTCCGTGTCTAGATATCCATCTAGCCCAAAGACCCCGAGGAGATGCAGGTAGCATTGAGTAGATAACTCCATTTAATAATAGGAAGTGAACCACCTCGTGTATTCTACTAAGGCTAAGAGTTACACAGCCCCTAAAACTAGGTGACAACAAATATTCCAATCACAATCAGAACCTGCTCAAGCTGTGGCTATTTTAAACTGCAGATCCGCTCAGGATCTTGCTCTGCTTTTAATCCACACACGCAATCACTTCATCCCTCAGTCTTAGTCCTATCTTCACTCAGTTTAAAAACATGATGGGATGGATCATTCTCTCCTATTCTCCCTGTTTGTTCTGACACTCTGTCCATTCATTCAGACTTGTTAAAGACTCGCCAATGTTGTGCAGTACTCTTGTCTTCCAGTGCAGATTGCCTGGCTTCCACGCATTAAACTTACTGGTCAGCCGCAACTACCTGTATGATGCTTGCGAGAGCAGGTATGGCTAAAAGGCCGGTAAGCTGTGCGCACAAGCAAAAAGCAGGAAACAAATTATATTTATATAGCGCCTTTCACGTCGAGAGGATGTTCCGAGGCACGGCATAGTCAAGGGTTTGCACCCGAATTGTAGGTTGGAGTCAAGAGGAGTGGAAGGCAAACGTGCAGTTTGGGTTCATAAAATGGACTGTGTTTAACTCCATGTTTAACTCTCTCTAATCAAGAGGGACTGGCTAAATTGAGGCTTTTTCCACTTAAGCAAATGAGATTGAAAAGGGATATGATCGAGGTCTGAGTTACTGTAGGTGCTTATCAGGAAAAGCTATTTCTTTTAGTTGATGACATGGGTGAGTAAAGGGCAGAGTCTCCCACAATTGTTAAGAGATAAATTCGGGAGGGGGAGGGGGGGTTAGAGGGATTATCTTCACACAGAAAGTTGTTAGGGTTTGGAATTCAATACCACAAATGACTATTGAGGCTGGTTCAGTAGAATTGTTCAAAAGGAAACTGGATCACCACCGGAACAGTGGAAAGGTTAAAGGAAATGAGGAAAGAGTTAGAAAAACTAACTCTTTCCTCATTAACACTAACCCGCATGAAGGGAGCTATATAAATGCAAGTTCTTGTTCTTGTCCTGCCAAACACAGCAGACAAACAATAACTGTTTAAGATTACTATACATGGAGTTGCCAGGCTGTAGGGCTACATGATTGAAAATAATTCGCTGTGGCTCAACTTCTGTTTGTACATCCTATAAATCTCCCAAAGAGTTGGGAGCAGAACTTTCAGGTTATGCTGCAGACATGGAATCGGATTCTTACAACTAGGATTTCTTTGGTTTGGGCAACAAATTGAGAACTGAAGCTTAAAGAAAGGGACTATCTCAGTAAGGTCCTTGTTCACTGTCCTGAACATGTTTGTTTTAGCCTAGCTCAGACAAGTCTCAAATTTCAAGACTTGATAAAGATCTTCATGATCGTGAAGGGTTACAAAAGAGGAGCAGTGATAGATTTCCACTGGTTAGTGAGTCAACAATAAGAGGGCAGAAATGAAAGATAATCACAAAGGAATTAAATGGGATGTCAGAAAAAAAAATCTATGCACAATTGAAACAGAGTGGGTCTATAAGGAAAAAGAGGAATATTAAAGAGTAAACAATTGGAGAGGAGTCAGAGATTAGACTAGGTGACGCGTTTGGAGAAAAACTGCAGCACAGTCATCGGATGAATGGCCTGTTTCAGTGCTGTACATGGCATAATTCTATGGACAAAGTTATTATTGAAACCAGCTTGTGACAATAAGTGTTTACTATGTACTGTAGTCAGCTATAGATTGATGCTGAGAATCTTTACCAGTATTTGTGGGCAGCTGATACATTCACACTGAATATAGACACCCACTTACACTATTCAGTGATGAGAGCCTACCTCAAAGATAATGGACTGGTTGTTCTTTCTGAGGTAGAAAGCAAAGACGTAAGTGTACATTAGTGTGGCACGACACTGGCAGAGCACATCCACTGCTTTCTTCAGGAATTGCACCTCAATCCAAGACATGTTATGCTGCTGCATCTCTTCCATCTTCTGCTTGACCTGAGCGTACAGCTTGTGCTCGAACCGCAGGCTCTGCATGTGGTTCATGTAGCGATTGCAGTAGAAAAGGTACCTTTGGAGTGCTGCTCGGGAGCGCTGTTAAACAAGAGACAAACTGAGACTGTGTCAAGCTAAGGCAGACTCAAATACACAATACTAATATAAATGACGGAGCTTTGGGGATCTTGTATGCGGGCATGTTTTACCTGAGAGGTATTATGCACTCAAGCACTTTTTTTTAAATTCAGAGTATGAAACTGGATACTCTTAGGCACAGCAAGGAGATTCTGAGTATGTCAATCTTGTACCATTTATACATGCTGAATACCATTTATACATGTTGCGTGTTGAATGCCACCCCTCAGTACCTGGGCACTTTCATTAACTCACAAGGGCACGTGGGGTTCAGTTCACCTCTTGACACAAACAGAAAGCTCCAGAAGGTTATTCCTGAACCTAATCTAGTGCCTAATGAGGGAAGTTTGGCTGCAATCTAATGAAGTGCTTAAGTTATTAGGGACACAAATCCATGGTTAGTGGCCAGCTGGCATACTCACACAGTGGCCAGCTCACTTAATATTGAAACGAATCAAGTCTGAAGACAATCCTTCACACAAGGGCTTTATGTGATTGTATCAGATAAATTCTCACATTCCATGCAATACTGAGTTGATACTGATTCTTCCTTTTCCTCCTGAACAGGTTACAAATTGATCTCTAATACACCAGTTCTTCTGTTTCTCACAACCCCAGGGTTCTCAAATTACTCACTTTTGATGCAACGTTTCACTCACCACAGGGATGTTTCTTTAACAAAGGCCTAACAAGTGCAATTGGCTATTTTCCCCCTCCCATTTGGCTGCAGTCGTTCACTCAGTGTTTGAAGGATAGGAACACTTTAGGTAGTACTAGACATGAACTAGATGTCTATTTGTACCAGATTCCTGATATCTGCCTGGTTATGGATTAGATATATTTGCTAGAAGTATCAAATAGAATGTTACCCTTTATTAGAGTATAGTCTGAGATGTCTAGAAGACATAAAAAGCACCAAATCAAATTCAAAGATTATTATTATTGTTGGCAGCCAAAGAATGCTTCACTGAAACAGGACAATACACTGCTCAGACCTTACTTGAAAATTTGAGCAACATTCACCCTACTCTCCATCAAACATCCACAACTATACTTGGTGAAAATGTAGACAACTGGCCACTCAGGGAAGAAGGCAATTAAAACTGACAGGTCAGTTTAAAAAAAAAGCAGTCACCCTATTCCCATCCTTTTACAAAGCAATAACCAACCACTGCTATGTTTGATGTCTCAAGCTCTGAAACTAGCTCTAGAATGTTTAACACTATGAATCTGATTTGCATTAATTTGAGTTCAATCTGCTTTCTACAAGGACTGAAACCTATTTAAATGCAGGGTAGGAAGCAATGAGGGCAATGAAATATAATGGATCTATAGATTTTTCAAGGCACTGATGTGAAGCCAAAACTCCATATGACAGGGGTGGCCATCTTGAACCTTGAGGGCAATCCCAGAACACAGTGAGCTGTGAGAATATATCTCTATATTTGGTGCAAATATGTGAATAAAGTCAAAATCTTGAGAGCTTAATTCATAGGCTGATCCTTTTAGAAACTTGAAAAAATCCAAAAAATTGATGCCAATTCATCAATATTATTAGAGGCAAAGGAAACCAAAGCTGCAATTTGAGGACTGCAAAAACCACGTCTTGGCAAAATATTGTTCGAGTGATGAGAGGAAGAGTTGGGTCATTTGGTAGAAGTGTGTTGAGTATTATTCTGGACTTAGGGACAAACTAGGTAAAGGTCCTGGTCAACATCAGATACATCACAGCAGAGAATCGCAAACACTGCAAACCCTCAAATACTCTTCAAAAATCCTTGACTCAAACTTGAAGATAATTAACTCATACTTACAAGCAATAGTCTTTAAATGATTAAAAGCCAGAATATGGTCTCTTGGCAGCAAGACCATTAGTGCTCAACTACTGTACCAACTTGAGAGCAAGACCTGGGCTTTCTGTCTCTTTGCTCCAGGTGGCTGACTCATCATTTCCCAATCTGACAGAGCACCAGACATAAAGATTGGGAGTTTCTACCCTGGAGTAAAAATAGATGTCAGCTGACATCCTGTTGGAACTGCACCCAGTCTGATGAGCCAGCCATCTGGCTTCTCAGTTGGGAGTGGGACCAATATTTACTGTGGAACGGTCTACAACTCAGACTCTTCCACTGTCCCAGAAAGATACTTAAATAACCACCACCAAAGCTGGGAGATAACGGAAGGTATCTATTGCCACAGCTCCAAAGGATGAATCTCAAGGAGAAACATTGCCCACACACACACAGCCTAGGGTTCTGTAGGTTTGTCCACACCTCACTCCCCCCGCACTGATGGAGAGCTTCCTTTACCTCCTGCGCATCCCTTGCTGCTTTTGCGTCATCTTCATTGTAGCGATTGCAGTTATACCTAAAAATAGAGAAAAGTAAATTGAGGTTGTCTCACTACCGATACCACATCACATGCAAAATACAGAACCTGTAGACGTTAAGGACTTCATATGTTTATATCCTCTTTTTTTTGCTTCACTGAAAGAATAAATGTTCCATTAATGATACTTCTCTCTACAACCATATGGACCAGTTGCGAAGATAAGGTTCCTTTCCTCTATCTGACCACCGAGCAGGGATAGAAAGGGCACTTCTCCTAATGACAATACTATACTGACTTTTTTCAGCGCTGAGATTGTAATTGTTTGAATCCCACAAGCAGAAGATAGTGAATAAGCCATCTTCTGCACACAGGAGTGAACCAGAGTACAGTCGATGTCCCTGGTCACTGAAGGTCGGCAAGCACGGTGAGGCGGTGCGTGCTCAGGGACTCTACATGTGCTCGGGCTGCGGAAATTTAAAAAAAAATTCAGTTTCGGGCTGACTAGGTATGAATTCTGGAGACTCGGTTCACTGTTCAATGGTGGTTTAACTACCAAGCGATAGGCCAGAGCATTGAATGTGCAAACTTTGTCCCAGTATTGGTAAAAAAAACCTGACAATAACCCTCTGACTTACCAAGCAGATCCGTGCGGCTCCCAGGGGCCAAGACAGACCCAGCAGAACTCCGCTTTACAATTCTGATTGCGACAGACCATGTGATTGCATCCACCGTCCTTCTCAATAGTCACATGGCATTTTGGACATTCCTGTTAAAGAGTTGAAGCTGTTAATGAACAGTCGGGATTCCACAACACCAGCTTCAGATAAGAAGACCCAAGCCAAACCCCAGGAGGTGCTGCTTAAATTTAATATCCTCCAATTCTCATTAACCAACTCGAATCAAGAAATGTAACCATTGGAAATGAGATCCACAGTTAGTCCGATCCACTCCATACTTGCATACTTTCTAACAGGGGTCTTAGGATACCAGGAATCCCTAGCTTAACATTTCACTCCTTACCCCAGGGGGACTGAGACCAATTGTAGAACCCTTTCAACTATCTATAACAGACTAGGAGTTGTAGCAGAAACATCAGGGGTCAGGACGCTCACATTCACTCTAAGCAGTGGTTCCCTGCACGTGTATGACACGTGAAAACTCAGCCAAAGTAGCAGAAGGTAGTAATAATAATATTTGCACTTGATATAGCGCCTTATTACGTCATCAAAACATTTCTAAGTGCTTCACAGGAAACACTGTCAAGTGCAGTGGCTGTGTATTTTTGTGGGCGAAACGCAGCAGCCTATTTGTTGGCCAGGACAGTGAGAAAAGAAACTCCCTTCTCTTTTCAAATAGGGCCTTGGGATCTTTCCTTTACATATCCTGGTGTCACCAGAATCCCGAGCAGTGTAGCCAAAGGTCACGGCTTCATTGCAAGGCAGTGCCAGATGCTCTGCACTTCTTTGTATTCACCTTAGTGTTTGCTGCAATCCAATTGGAGGTTTCACTGTCATCATCGCACTTTTTAATCCACTTCTTCAGCCACTACAAGGAAGGAGACACCATTATACACAGTAGCTGCAGTTGGACTGCTGGACCTAACAATGGAAATGACGAAACACCAAGGTGAACGTTTGCTGCTGTCCTGAAGATCAGTAGATTCCAAATTATAATATTTGAAAAACAATAAGTCATTTTTTTCATATCAGGCATTTTATTTTCTTACCCCGCCCCACATTCTGTGCACTGCTCTTGGTCTAGGCTGACAACTGCTCCTGTATCCCTGCCAATCCCACTGTACATCCCATCTGATGGGAAATATTCAACGGCAGCAGGGCGAATGCCTCTCTGTGTGGGAGATGTCTGAGCTCCACTTAGTCCACTCCCTGACAATACTGATGAAAAATTGAGTGGCAAAGAGGGCAGAATCACCACCACTCTGTTCTATCAAATCTATGTCCTTCCTTTTCTGAAGTTTCAGTTGTTTTCACTAGATTCCCTTTTCACCTGAACGTATCCCACCCTTTCTTTTAGAACTCGAGCACTAGCTCTTTTTCTCCAAGCCTAGTTGCAAAAATTACGTGGTTTACAAGTTTTCACCTCAACTGAGCTATCTAGGCGCAAGGAGTTGATTCACTCTGTGCACTCATTGTATTTTGTCGTGCTGTCACTACAGGGAACATCTTTACATGAGCAATCTTCAGTTCCACCTTCTGACTAAGAAACAATATCCCAAATCATTACTGTGAGGGTTAAGCTTCTCTGAACTTCATTTGAAAAACATTATACAGACCTAGAAATGGATGGGTAGCTCCCTGAGAATTTACCCTAGAACTTAAATATAGTTTGAACTCTGCGCAGTGGTTGGTAGGTACCTCTGGAGTGATGCCTGAACCATAGGACAGGCTGGACTATTAAGTGGACCTTGCAACAGACCTCGTTACAAATGTAAAAGAAAAACAATTGGGGAAATATGAAAGTACTGAGGGTAGCAGCACTTTGAATGGCAAGTACTTGATCCTAATCTTCATGGTGGAGTTCCTTCTTTGGATCTTTGGTGAAGAGTAGAAAGGAAGGCTGCAGCAACATACACTAACATCTGCCAGAGCTGCCTGTTTCTTCATTACTGACATTGAGGTGAAGGATCATCTGGATAGCACCCATTCACTTTTCTCTCTCTAAAAGGTATCCCTAAGCAAATACTCTGCAGACGCCCCTTTCTCCAGGTCCTGCCGGGCTAGGCACCCACCATTTTCTGGTCAATAGCTCCCAGGCCACTGCTGTCTATGCCAACTCCCTGCTTGTCAGTCTTCCCAACTCTTCCCCCCACAAGCTGCAGATCATTCAAAACTCTGCAGCTCGTATCCTCTCCCGCACCAGGCTCCGTGACTCCATCACCCCCACCTCACCCGGCTCCACATCCCTCAGAGGATAGAATTCAAAATCCTTGTCAAGGCCTTCTGTGGTCTTTCTCCTTCCTACCTCTGTGACCTGCTAACCCCATATCAACCTGTCTGCTTCGCTCAGCACGCCCCCCGCCCGGCCCACCTCACCATCAGCGGTCGGGCCTTCAGTCTCTCTGCCCCCACCCTCCAAGACTCCATCCCATAGTCCCTTCACCTTGCTCCCCCCCTTTGCCTCCTTCAAGGCACATCCCAAGACCCTCCTCTTCGAACCCGCCTTCGACAGCCCTCCTACCGCTACTCTCCCTGCCCTCCATCCCTCTTGACCTCAACCCACGCTCAGTTCCAAATCCCTGACTGTCCAGTGCCTTGGGACGTCCTCCCGACGTGAAGGGCGCTATACAAATGTAATTTGTTATCGGTGTCTGAAGTTCTTATGCCTGCCTGTTGCTAGGAGGTACTCGTGAGCGGTCTAGGATGACTCACCGTCCTATAGCTTTCTCCCTACCATTGGGGATGAATCTTGCCCGCATTGGCCTCCCATCTTCCTAATGACAGAGTCGAGATAGAAAACTCACTAAGTGAAGGAGTCCTAGACAGAAACCTACATCCCGACACACCGCATTACAACCACCGAAACACCAGTGTTGTGAAGAGCGGGTTTTCGGTCATCACATGTTTTTCTCATTCCGATCATAAATTAGCCATTCCCATCAGGTTCCATTTAAAAATATAGAAAGAAGTCACAGGTCAACCACATGGCATTGGGTCTTGCTACAGACATGTATAAAACTGCTGAGGAAAAGGGTTGATATTCTTAAAAGGAATAGGGAGAAGGTTTTGAAGGCTCTAGACGACTAAATTGGGTCCAGGACAAATGGAGATCCAAGAGACTAAGGTGGTAGAGGTCAAAACCTGCCCAACTCTATCCCTTTCAGTCCACTACCTACAGTCAAGCAACTCCACAAAGAGGGCAACTCGTAGAGTCCTTCGGCACTAAGCAGATACACAATGAATACTTAAGGAGTGTAGCTCGAATACTCAAACAAAGGCGACATCAAATTCCAAGTGCCTCAGCTTAGTCCATGTGCAATAGCCACAACAGAGACAACTGGGAGTGTCAAGTCCAGGAGGCCTCTACTTTGACAAATACTCAGTGGAATGGATCGCTTAGCAGAAGTTGGACCTTTATTGGTATAAATCGTCCGATTTCCAATTAAATTTCTCCAAATGGAGAATGCCATGCATTACTCTTGCTATGGAAAGGTTATCAAGTAGGTCCAATCTTTTCCTGATGGCTTCTTTTCATTACAAGGATTACTCTTTTCATTACTCTTCTCAGGTGCTTCACCCATCAAGAGAAGTGTATTCATCCGGCTCTCACCTTGCATTTAACAGGATCATGCCAATTCTCAGCACAGTTGAAGCTGTAAAATTAGGGGGGAAAAAGGCATTCAATACAGGTAAACGAAAATCAGCCTTCAAAGATTCAGAAGTGCAAACGCTCCCAACAAATGGAAGAATAACAATGATGTAGAAACGGATTGTACGGTGGGTGCACTTACCAGAATTGCCGGCCACATTTACAGCGAACTGGTTTTGCATCAGGGTACTGGACTTTAATAACATGGTGACAATCGGGGGCAGGGCACCATTTTAACAGACGATTACACTGTGATGGAAAAGCACAGCTGTTGGTGTCTCACTCAGTTACAAAAAAAACATGGTCATGAGAAAGGCTAAGCTTCAGTCAGACAAGCTGAAAAATCCTTGGCAATACCTAATGAAAGGTATTGCCTGCATCCTTCTGTACATTTAATAACACACCCAGGATTGCAAGGTTCCAACTACATAATCCTTTTTAAGACAATGCACAAATTTAAACAGGTTTTTAAAATTATTTTGCTATGGGACCCAATTACCAAATCTATTCAGTAGGCAAATTTACAATCTGTATTTTAATACATTGCCTACGCCTTGAATTATTTATTCCGAGGAAGGTATGCTTACCTCTACAAAGCTATTTGTTATTAAATGCTGGTACTTCAACTTGACTTTGGAATCTGTGATCAAACGCCTATGAAAGATGCAAAAATATTAGAAGAAATTTCCATTTGATTGATAACATACACAAATAACATACACAATAGGTAATACAATCTTAAGGGGGGGGTAAAAGAAGAGAGACCTGGGGGTGCAGGTAAATGAATCCTTGAAGGTGGCAGGACAGGTAGATAAAACTGTAAAAAGGGCATATGGGATACTAGGCTTTATAAATAAGGGCACAGAGTACAAGAGTCAGGAGGTTATGATTAACCCATATAAAACACTGGTTAGGCCTCAGTTAGAATACTGCGCCCAGTTCTGGGCACCACACTATAGGAAGGATGTTAAGGCATTGGAAAGGGTGCAGAAGAGATTTACGAGGATGGTACCAGGAATGAGGGACCTTGATGATGAGGAAAGGCTGGAGAGGCCGGGATTATTCTCAATGGAGCAGAGAAGGTTACGAGGAGACCTAATAGAGGTCTTCAAAATCATGAGGGGATTTGATAGGTTAGAAAGGGAAAAACTGTTTCCACTGGTGGGTGTGTCGGTGACTCGAGGTCACAGATTCAAAATAGTCTCTAAAAGAAGCCGAGGGGAGGTGAGAAGAAATTTTTTCACGCATCGAGTTGTTTGAATTTGGAACGCATTGCCTGAAAGGTGGTGGAGGCCGATTCGACAATAATTTTTAAAAACACGGTGGAACGGTATTTGAGGAGAACGGGTTTGCAGGGTTATGGGGAAAGGGCTGAGGAGTGGGATTGACATAAATTGCTCTATTCAAAGAGCCGGGACAAACTTGATGGGCTGAATGGCCTCTTTTTGTGCTGTACAATTCTATGATTCTATGAAATAATACAAACTGGAAAACAGATACTCCCCACATCACTAAGAGAACCAGCTTGTACTTTCAGTAAAAAGCTAGCTATCCACACTAATATGAACCAATAAAATTATGGATAAGGAAACAATATGGATAATCAGTCATCCAGCAAAATAGAAATGAGCTACTGTGCTAACCAAAACCTTCTTTCATCACTGTTACTATAGCACCATAATAAACAGGGAAGCAAGCTAGTGAAGCATGGTAAGGGGAGAGGTGATGGGCATGTGAAGCCAAGTACAGGAGAGGATAGGGGGCTGGAGAATTCTGGATGAGCTTAGCATGGTGAAACTAGTAAGACTCTTGAGGAGAACATTTGAGAAATCAAGTCTAGAGTTAAGAATGAGTAAGGGGGTAAGGTAGAGTAGGTGGGAGGTGATATTCCAGAGATGGAAGAAAGCAATTCTGGTCATGGAGACTAGATATAGGAAAGAGTTTAGAGTCAAACAAACGCCACAGTTTCATTCTCACTTGGTGAGCTTGAGTGAACAGTCAGTTGATGAACTCTGAGCTTGAAACAAGGAGGCGCAATCAAGTCATTAGCTTTATTGATGATTGGTTGAAGGAAGTACACAGAATTTGATGTCCGACCAGCAGAATGAAGATGCTGGGACAGGAGTGGACCCAGGAAATGTGGGATAATGGAGGTGGGTTAAAGTAAAGAGACTGGGAAGGATGAATTGGTTGAGGAGGTACTTATATTACGAGCTGTGGTAGTAGGCTAAAAGGATATTGTTGGTGACTTTGACCAAGGCTGGCTCTGTGTTATGAGCAAGTCAGAATCTGGTCTCAAGGGTCTCCTTCTTCTTCTTGAAAGAGCAAGTGTAAATGTGGGAAAATTGCATTTGAGATAAATAGACTATTCCTTACTTTCTACTTCCGTCCTAAAAGGCTTGCGCCTGGCCATATCGCGGGGGGGGGGGGGGGGGGGTGAAAGGATCAGACTAGAAATCGTCATGAAGGCTTCAGGAATGACTAGTTTCTTCAACCACAATTAAGCCACATTTCAGTAAGCCCTTTTCATTGAAATTATTCTAATTACTGAAGAAAAGAGAAGACAGACGTGCCGAGTAAATCTAAGATGGTGTGGGAAGTGGCAGGCGTGAACGAGGAACAAAGCTGGAGCTCATATTTTGTCAGACAATGAGCAATGACTTAATCCCTGCATTGTTTGGATCAAAGCTGCCATTGAACTTCAACATAAAGTGCAGTCTTCACATATTTTCTACAAGTCATCACCACATTAGCACTTCACGTCAGTCCATCTAAACTGTACAACATTAGTTTTGCTCAAAGTTTTCAATGCAAAAATCAGCAGAATTTTAATAGTCTGCCTTTGACAGATGGCATATAAAAATATATGTAATTTTATTCTAGGCTCTAATGCTGAATCAATACCAAACAATGACCTGAGTGAGCCAGCCATTAGCACAGATACTACTGCTGATGATCTTCACATGAGTAAAGGTGTGCTCATGACCACATCCATCAAAGTGTCTACTCTGATCAAAGAGACCTCACTGCAATCTCCCAAATCCTACAGTGCTCATTATAAATCAATAACTTAACCATTTGTTGCACTTCAAGTAAATAAGACTTCACAACAAAGGCACGCCTTATTGTACTGCTTTGTGCTGCCAAAGCAATTTTCAGCTATTAAAACAGTACTTACATAACTGTGTTGTCATCAACTAAGATATCACAGCCGTGAGCTGGGCAAGATATAGTCTGCAAAAAGAAAATAATTATCAGGTCACTGACACCAAAGACTAGTTGTATATACAAAAATGTTTTCAATGTCCGAATCGGAAATGAGTGCATCACAATGTACCTACCTGTCCCATGCCTTCCTCTATGATCTTTGTAGTTAAGTATTCGTTCCAGCACTGCATACAGAATTTGTGTCCACATTCCAAGCCTGTGAAGTACTGCAAAGACCAGGGGATACAAAAAACTTCAGCATTGCATGCAACTATCAGCAGCATCCGTTTGGTAAATAGCGTGTTCCAATAGCAATAACACACACATAGCAAATGTATTGGAATATTACACAACCTGTAACTGACGCATACTTTCTATGTAATGTATGCATGCATGTATGGAACAACACCATGTCATAAGTCACCATGCCCGCTGGGTCTGTACCGTAACATGGCATTATCACCCATTAGTTGTGACTGTGTGTCCGCAATCAGTTTTCAAATGATTTAACTCCTACCTAATCTCTTGCAACAATAGGGATGGCCGTGAGCACGGTCAAAGAGGAAGGTTTCCAGGCGGGACTTGAAAAAGGGGAGAGAGGTGGCAAGGCGGAGAGATTGAGGGAGAGTGTTCCAGAGTTTTTGGGGGTAGTGGATGAAATGCGACCTCCAGTGGTGGGGAGGAGGTTGCGAGGGACAAGGAGGAGGCCGGTGCAAGTCGTACGGAGACGCCAGGTGGTGGATTGGGGAGTACGGAGGTCGGGAGATGCTAGAGAGTGAAGGGATTTAAACACAAGTGTGAGAAGCACTCCCCGTTGCCTATGCTCCCTCGAATCCTCTGCTCTACCGTCGGTGGCCATGCCTTCAGCCACTATACCCTGAAGTTATGGAACACCCTCCCCCAATCGCTTTGCCTTTCCCCTTCTTTCCCCATTTTCAGGATGCGCCTTGAATACCTTCCTCTACGACTGTGCCTATGGTCACCTTTTCCCCTCCTCGGCTCAACATCGGGCTCCACCATTGTTAAACTCTCTGGGACGCCACCCAGCGTGTACAACAACTACAAAATTACATTTATAGAGTCCTTTCACGTTAGGACGATGTCCCAAAGCGCTGAACAGTCAGGTGTCGGGGCCCGAACATGGGGGAGGGGTGGTGTAGGGGTGAGGGAAGGCAGAGAGGTGGGAGGGAGACCAAAGGCACGGTCGAAGAGAAGGGTCTTGAGACCGGCCTTGAAGGAGGCAAGGGAGGAAGTGAGATGAAGCAACCTTGGTATGGAGTTCCAGAATGTGGGGACAGAAAGGCTGAAAGCCCGGCCACCGATGGTAGGGTGGGAGACATGGAGGAGGCTGGAGCCCGATGAACGGAGGGAAGGGGCAGGTTGGTAGGGAGTCAGAGAGATAGGAGGGGGCAAGGCCATGGATGGTCTTAAAGGTGAAGACGTGGATCTTGAACTCGATCCTCTGGGGGATGGGGAGCCAGTAGAGTCGGGCGAGGGTGGGAGTGATGGGGTCACGGTGATGCGTGAGAGTACACGAGCTGCAGAGCTTTGGATGATCTGCAGCTTGTGAAGGGAAGAGTTGGGAAGGCCGATGAGGAGGGAGTTCCCGTAATCAAGCCTTTAGCTGACAAATGCATGGATGAGGGTTTCAGCAGCCTGAGGAGTGAAGCAGTGGCAGAATCTGGCAATATTGCGGAGGTGGTGATAGGCAGTGCCGGTCATGGCGCGGATGTGGGGGAGAAAGGACAGTTCAGGGTCAAACAAGATACCCAGGTTCCCGACTGGCTTAGTGAGGTTGAGTGTGCAGCCGTGTAAGGCACTATATAAATACAAGTTGTTGTTGTTTTTGTCAAACCAGCAAACAAAGCACTCAACTACCCACGCTATAGAGTAAGCAGATATTTATCCCTAGTTCAGATACATTTCTTGCTTCACACCCACAGCCATCTCCATAGCAGCAGCAGTGGGGCAATCAAATGCTGCTTTTACTTTGCGGTTCTGGAGACTCAAAAATGCTGGGCCAAAAGAGGAGGCTCGGTTCCATTTCAAACCCCTGTCACTGTGCAAACAGTAGCAGAGTCTAGGCAATGTGCCTGAATATCAAGTGTCTAGGCTCCTGCTTTTCATGATTCCATTACCATTATTTGAATAGTGGGGACTTCAAAACATTTCTAAATGGTGTTTTGGACATACAAAAGTCAACATGTATAGTAGGTGCTAACACCTGTATTTTGCACTAGAAAATTGGATCTCCAGAACAGGAGATTAAGTACCAAAATTTTGCATTGGGTAAAACTGCCATATCTCTCGAATTATTCTTCTGCTTATGGTGTTTAAAGTGATATCTTCTTCAGATGCTCGGTTTACTTTTCATTCAAGTAGATGATCATTCAGGCCCACAACTCTAGTTAAATCTTCCTGAAACCCCTTAAGATCCTGGTGTTTCTGCATAAATCATAGACATACCAGGGCAAACAGGAGGTCAGTATGCCATGTTAAGAATTCCTCTCCAGCACAAAACCGGAGTAACAAAGAATGAAGCCAGACCATTTATCTGCCTGCAATAATTTTTTTAAAAAGCAAGGATCCTTTTCTAAACACCACACCTACCTATGAGTAATCTTAATTTGAATCACTAGTCAACTGTACAGGGAACAACCTTCCCAAAGCAATTTATTTTTTGACGACAGGCAGACGAGCAGGTCAACTGCACAGCCTCATTCTACAGCCAAATCTAAACAGTGATGTTTGGTCTTTGTGTGAGGATTACTCCACGTGCTGCCTTGCAAATGTAACCCAAAACTGGGGCACTAGCAAGTGCCTGCCCTTTGCACCACAGGACACACTCTCCGAGCCTTTTGTGCTCACAGCAGTCCCTATGGCAACATTGGGAAACCTCCATTCCATGCTACAGCCACTTCCAGCTACAGCCGAACACCATTAAAAGTGTTAAATGCAGCAACATTGCTCTTCCAGTCATTCTTAAGCATACATTTTCAGCAAAGAATGTGGCCTTTCGGCTCATCGTATCCACGAATAGTTACCCACTGCGTTTTAACTCTTCTGTTTTTATTACTTCCTTATTGTTTTACTTCTCAGCTGCTTATCCAGTTTCCCATAGATTACTTCCATTGATCCAGTTTCATTAGCCAACAGTAGTAAATTAATTTGCTTAACAGTGGCACAAATTCAAGGAAAGAAAAAAAACTTCCCAAGTGTCAGGATATTTGAGTACTTGTTGTTTGGGACACTGCTGGCACTTGCCTACATAACAGCATTCTACAGGGCTGTATATACAATTTTATTTATTTCCAGATCATCAGCTGTTAAACCGAGACATTAAACTGAGGTTCTATTTGCCTGTTCAGATGGACGTTAAAAATCCCAAAACACTGGCCAACATTTTCAAAGATTAACAATTGGTGAATTACTTAATTGCTGTGGGGCATTGCTTTGTCTAAACTGGCCACAAATTTGCATACAAATACACACCTTTACTGAAAACTTGGTGAATTGCTTTCTGAGAAGTATTCAGGATTGTCAGATTTAATTGCTGAAAACCGATTCATTGTCTTCCACGTGTTCAGTAGAAGATGATGTACCTCAAGTTTAGACAAGTCTTGCGAGTGGTTTGTGATTGTTTTTAGCTGCAGCACTTAATCTACAATGTTCTTTTCAATGACTTGAGGACCTCATTGTGCAATCGCCTTTGGGAACATCTAATAGAATCACAGAATTGCACAGCACTAGAGGAGGAGGCCATGTGGATGATCATACCTGTGTCCTTCCTATATTTTCCTTTTTTAAAATATTTATCCTATTCAAGCCATGATGAATTCTGCTTCAACCATTGCTTTTGGCCAGGCAGTCCAAGACTTAATAAGCCCCTGTGTAAAAGTAATTGTAACCTATGGAGTTTCTATTTTCATTGCTATTACATTTGTACCGTAAGGTTACCACTCACTGACCTGTGGAAATATTTACCTTATTAAAACCTCTCAATTTCGAACACCTCGATCAGCCCATGTGTTGAAATCTGGATGATAGACTATACAAACCTTCTATAACTAAAAGAATTAACAAACTAAAAGGCCTAAAATAGATGCTCTATAAATAATTGTACTCGTGGACATTGGCGTGTTGGTGAACATATTTTGTTGTTGTGTAAGCAAGCGGTGAGACATAAATAGCCACAGAACCACAACACAACTCAGGCCAAAGTTGGGGGAAAACATAATCGCAACAAACCATGCCAATGTTGCAAATCATTCAACAATTCAGGAACAGCACTACACCCAATTTGTTAACAACAACAGCAACAACAAAATTACATTTGTATAGCGCCTTTCACGCCAGGAGGACATCCCAAGACGCTGGACAATCAGTGTTTCGGACCCGAGCTGGGGGTCGGGATTGGGGAGCGTGGAGTGCGGGGGAGGGGAGGAGGGTGACCAAATGCACGGTCAAAGAGGAGGGTCTTGAAGGAGGCAAGCGAGGGGGCTAGGTGGAGGGACTGCGGGATAGAATCCCAGAGCACTAGGGCAGAGTGGCTAAAGGGTCCTGCCAGCCAATGGTGGGGCGGGCGACGCGGCAGATGGGAAGCAGGCCAGAGCCCGCTGAGAGAAGGGAGCAGGCAGGTTGGTGGGGGGGGGGGGGGGGGGGGAGTTTAGGAGATCGCAGAGGTAGTGGGGAGCAAGGCCATGGAGGGCTTTGAAAGAGAGAACTAGGATCTAGAACTGTATCCAGCGTGATGGGGAGCCAGTGGAGTCGGGTGAGGATAGAGGTAAATGTTAAATATTACCCGTGGACCAGGAGTTGCCAAAGCAGCAAGAACCATGACCAGATCGCTAGACACCATGCCACCCAAGGAGGTAACTGCATAGAACCAGAGATCCAACATGGATCCATTCTGGTTTGTACGTCCGATTGCGATATCTCAGTGTATTTATTCACTGAATGATTCAGGGAAGAAGACTAAACACGAGCCTTCAACAGCAATAATGAAATATTTGTTCTCGAAGGTACATTGCTCAATCCTCACTCTCTCCTTCTCACCATGAATGGCCAAGCCTTTAGCCACTCTCCTGAAATCCTCTTTGTGTACATTTGGTGTCCATCTCTCAGACCAACACTGATCTCTCTTGGTTTAGAGGTTCAACTCTAATAGTAGCACAATGACTGTGGTTATTTTATCCAATTTGTGGACTTTATGCAAATTAATATCAACAATGAGACTGACATGTGAAACTGCTCTTCGCTGTTATACTGAGGAGATCAGACTTTATATTCTCAATACAGACAGCATGCGAAGTAAAATCCTCAACCAACTGTTGGGACCAGAGTACAATAATGGCCTTTGTATGAATTTGTGTGCAACGCTGAACAGCAAAGCACTGTGAACAGAGTTGGAAAAATGTGTGTGTTATCAAAGGCTAAACATGAGTGAGTGTGGGGGAGAGAGAGAGAGAGAGAGACCGACCGAGGGCTAAACAGCAAGACCAATGGGGTGGGGAATGACAAGAGTGATCAGGAACCGATTGGTGAATATGGAAATAATTTTCCGGGGAAGGAGTTAATAGTTGAAAAATAAACAGAAACTGCAATTCAAATCTGTGATATTATGTAAAAGCACAAACATTAATCTGGATGTCATAAGACAGTTCATGTTTTCATCTTCAATGTGTTCTCCACAATCACACATAGACAGTGTGTTTAATCAGACAGTGCAGCAATTCTTGCTCTGCAAATGAAGCTATCTCACACAGTATTCGTGAGCCTTGCAACTGGTTACCCCAAGCTACTTATTAGGACCATGTTTAATGCCTTCGTTTAATATAGCTCATCAGATCATGGAAGTATCCTCTTACTGAGCTGCACAAGTCTGCGAAGGAATGTGGGTCCCACCAAGAGAGACCCAGCTATGGGCATATCTGAAACATTGAGGACATTGTACTTAAGATACCAGGGTTTTGTAATCTTGTGCCGAAACCAGAAAGCAGCCTCTATGGCAGGAGGGCATCATGCACCCGTTATCACGAAGAGATCGCCCACTTTACCACAGTGAAGTGAAATGCCATTCACCAGGGTCAGGGAAGACATGTGCCATCCATGTCTACTGCTTGTGGCAGTAACAAATGCCAAATATTAGCATTTCAATTTTGCTGCCAAATGACAAGGTTGACCACTTTTTGTTTATTTTAGCACCAACCAGAAGGCAGCCACTGTAGGTTTTACCCGCGTTTTAAGCAGATAGCTTAAAACACAGGTAGGACTGTGCAGGAGCCCGAGCTGAAGATTCATCTGGAACATGGCAAACGTCACATGAACTGGTTCTCAACACGTAGAAAAAAGACAAACCTCTTCACCTAAGATTTTAACACAGAAAATGGCACATGGCATAAATATTGGGGGAATAAAGACAGTAGCACACAGCATGAACATTGGGAACGCAGACACTGGCACACAGCATGAATATTGGGGACACAAAAGCACAAGGCATTGGCATCAGCGAACCAGAAGCCGGTGCACAGCTTTGACATGGGGGGGGGGGGGGTGCGGGGAGGCGGGGGAGAGAACAGGGGTGGGACAGACACTGGTGCACGACATGGAGATTGGAGACACAAATAGTGTGCAGCATGGACATTAGGAGATACAAGACAGTAGCCACCGCAGGAACATTAGGAGACACACAGCTGTGCATGGAATAAACAGGAGACGGGAAAGGGAAGAGGAGGATAGGGAGAAGAGAATAGACAGCAGCAAACAGAAAGGGCACAGGCAGAAGTAAATTGTGTGAACTGGACCACTTCAGAAACACAAAGTCAGAGCTACTACAGCAACATACAATACAGGCTGATGCACAACGAAAGGGCTTTCCACTGCCAATTTCATCATGAAAAGTAATTTTTACAAAACAAAAAGGAATGCAACAAATGTTTTACTCTACCCACCAAACAAGCCTAACCACAGTACAATTGCACGACTAACCACTGTCACAATTTCAATGATTTAGTTCTTAACTGAACCAGTGAATGAACCCCCCACCCCACCCAAGCAGTCCAACATCATCTCTCAGGAACAGAGGGTATTTTCATCCCAGCAAATCGATTGGAGCTGACCATACAAAGGAAAAGCAAGAGACAAAGAGGCAAAATCACTCTAACCGGCTGAAGAGGATACGCTGGATCAGCTCTTTCTCTCCCCTCTCCCCCACCCGCGCACACATATTTTAACATGGATCAGCAATACCTCATCTCGTCAGTCACGGAAGCAATAGTCCACGTGGTATTGGGGGAGGTAGGGATATGGACATATGGTAGACTATAAGGTAAGCTCAGGCAAACTACAACACTATACTATACTAGGGGTGGCAGAATGATGGAAAATTCACATCAATTATTGATCGACATTTGAGTTAAAAACAATATTCGCACACTTAACCATGTCTCCCATTGATGAAAAACACTAGGTGCTTTTTTTTAAGAAAACGGATGTTTAGAGGCCAGATTGGAAGCAGCAAGGGTGGGGGAGGGGGGAGGAATTTATTTTCAGATCGATATTAGTCGCAATATCGATACGATTAGCAATTCTAGGAATTGCAATATTTTCAATAATCGATATTACATGCCACCCCACTTACTATACAGAGCTGTATAATCTCCACCCTACCTGGGACTCTGATACAGAGTTAGAGATCCTAGTGGCGCTTCCAGACCCCCCACTTTCTTCTTTCTAATGAGAGAATATGAGACTGGTTTCTACCTTCTTGTTGCTTTAGGTACTAGGTACTCTATTCTCAATCTATACATTTTATACAAAAGCATTTGTATTGGGTGAAAAGTGCAACATTTCAGAACAGATTCAATGCGAAAGTCACACTGAACCGGTTCAATACTGATTTCAGTTCTGCCAACTTCAGCACCTTGGTTTAGTCCAAAGCCTCTGTTCAAAATTGTTTCACAGCCATCTTGAGTAGTAGCCTGGCCAAGAATACTTCTTACTGAAACCTGACGTTTGAGTGCTACTTCACAGGATATCAGCACCCTATTTTTATCTGCATAAACTTGCTATTCATGGAATCCAGTAGTTCAATGGTTAGAGCACTCGTCTTGCAAGCAAGAGACCTGGGCTCGATTCCCCACAGGGCGAAATGTTGGGCAAGTTTCCTTACTCCACAAACCTCTGTTTACCTAGCAGTAAGTAGGAACCCAGTTATTAGATGATTGTCGGATTGCTTTTACGTGGGTAATAATTCCTTAAAAAAATAGTAAATTGGTCACTTCAATCCACGACGATTTGTGGGGCACTGCTGTGTGCAATTGGCTGCCGTGTTTCGTCCACAAAATATACAGTCAATTCACTTTACACAATATTTTGTGAAGCCCTTTGAGACGTCTCGAAGACGTGATAAGGTTCTATATGAAATGCAAGGATTATTATTATTCTCTGCGATCAGGCGCTAAGAAAACTTTGGGTCCTATCATTGTGCTTCAGTTGGTTGGATACGCGTTCATTCTCAAAACCAGGCAACAATTTGCCTGAACTTCAGCTGTTTCTTAACAGATTCAATAATAATAAATACACCAAACCATTATGAAATGTTGCATGTTTTACCCCTATAGGTATACCCACACAAACTTTACACTTGCACACTTTATTATGTATAACATGGAGGAAGTGCTGACACTTTGTGTGCAAAAAATGGAGCACAATCATACCTCCTATAAGAAAGAAAAATGGGAGAGAATTTAGCAAGAAGAAAGGAGACTGATCTGCATTTGCATCACATAGATACTGTCTCAGACAAAGGCAGCTCATATTGGAGTTTATCCTTATTACACTACACAAATTATTTGCTGTCTGTACACTTTGGTCCTGCCCCACACTGATAGCAGCATTCGCTGTGCAAACGCAGCAGCTCTTTCCTGGGGCATGCTCTGCAAACACAATAGGACACAGTGTTACAGAACACTTCCTCCTCAGCACCAACATGATCACTGATATAGCCTGCAACATGGCAGACAGCTTCTATAACGTTGACAAAGTGCAATCAAATGCCCTTTATCTGAAGAGTTCTAAACGTATCCCTTCCTCCATTAACTGTATCAGGTAAAAATTCACAATGGAGCCTAATTTATGCTACAGGTATTCAGGGAGGCATCACAGGATGTCCAGTCAGTTTTAGTGATTTCACCCAATTGGATAATTGACATCTGACTGCATATTTTCCCAAGATTTATATTCTTGATTAATGACACCTCTGATTGGGGAGGTGATCGGCTGATTTCAGGAAAAGGATACTAAGTGCAGTCATCGGAAGTCCAACTGTTCACAGTGTGCAACTCGTCCCCATTTCAATCCCAGACCATGTATGAATGAGGGGCTAATTGGTGAATGCGTGACATTGGCATGAGGTTTATCACTGCCTTGGGTTCCTGCTATGCACAATGGAAGTTGCAGGCTGCAGCCAGAGAGCACATCGCTCAGGTAAAGCAAACAAAAATCACTAAAGGCGACGAGAAAATACTAATTTCCAACATTTGAGGTTCGGTAATAAAGAATCATCCATGGGCATAATTAAATGGCAGGGATATGGCAAAGCACAGGCCTATCACGTATCCAGTGATATAGACGGCATAGTACCGACAGACTTTGGTGAGTTGTTTCCCGCCCTGGCCACACAACCGCCCCACAACTTAGGCAAAGCTGTTACTGTGCTTTAGTCTTAGTAGATCAGCAGTGATGAGCATTCAAATTTCTAAAACAGAGTTATGAGCCATCAAATGGTTCCAGGAAATGATGCTCTGTACTCCTGTCTAATGGACTCACCGAGTTTGGGTAATTCAGGTAACAGATGGCACAAACCATATCCTGTGAGGATGATCTTGTATTCATCTGACGTGTTCGAGATTTCTTATAAGGGTTTACTACATGACATTCTGCAAAGAGCTTCTCCAGATTTCCATCAAAGTACCTGTGGGAAACAGAGCTTACAGTTACATTACCAAAGATACTCTTATTTTTCAGTATCTACTAAATCAAACCATTTAAACACAATGTACCTTAACATAAATCACCACCACGAGAATTTACTGCCTTGTTATAAAAAGCGGGTAGCTTTTCATGCCTTGTTTTTCTAGTGTTACATACCCCAAATAATCAGTTTCTATTTCCACTTCTTTCATGTATGGGCGAATCTTAAAAGATCGTGCCAGTCACAGGAGCCCTAGCTGCTTGAAAGTATGATTATTTGTCACCTTCATTCCCAAGGAGCACATTACTTTTTAAAATGTGTATATATATATATACACACACACAGAGACATTATATATAGCTGCACCCGTCGCAGCAACGCTTGCAACCAAAGGATCCAATATGGAATGTAGATTGACACAAAGACAGACATTTCATCTTTATCTATACTCATCTGGGAGGATTCTTGTGGGAGGACTCCTTTTGCGAGAACTCGGTGCTTTAAAAATGTAATTTTGTTGTTGTTGCCACAGCTTAGCTTCATTTGTGTCCCCGCCACTTGGCTACGTGCGTGCTCTTTGACGCAGGATGCCACAATGCCACAGTCAGCAGGCACGGCCACCAGGTGTAACTGAAGTGTGTGGGTACATACATGCTCTGTGACGCACAATGCCACAGCACCACTTTGACTTGGTGGCCACTGCAGCAAAAAACCCAGAACTGCAAATAATGCATGAACGATAGGAAATACCTGAAAACAAATATGCCAACGTCACTCCCAGACACAAGACTTTTCCGAGGTATAAATCTCTATGTCAATCAGTTATTGAGATCCTTCTTGAAGCGCAGACAGATATTGTCATTTTATTAGTATAGATAGACACTAATATCTATTTGCTGATAGGCTTTGCTTTAGATGGAGGAGACTGGGTGCTGAGTGTGTATATATAAACTCACACACACACTGATGTGAGTCAAGAACATTTTTGTACCTCAGGAATTTTATAGCCCTTCTCTAAAGCCACATGCTCCAATGTCTTACTCTACAAAGGAGAGACCCCTACAGCTTCAAGCTACTCAGCTGACCACAGGTGCCATGTAATATTAAAACAGTTACATTTCATTGACTTATTGTTATTGTCAGAGTTGCACCTTTATTGAATTTGTGACCATCAGTGAAGGAATCCCACTGTCACTTTTGTACAAATAGTTGGTACAACAACAACAACAACAACAACAAGATTCCATTTATAGAGCGCCTTTCACGTCAGGAGGACGTCCCAAGGCGCTGCACAGTTGGGTCATGACCCGAGCAGGGGGGAAATGGTCAGGGTGAGGGGAGGGAAGGAGGGAGAGAGGAGGGGGGAAATGGTCAGGGTGAGGGGAGGGAAGGGAGGGAGCGAGGAGGAGGAAGAGAGTCGAGAGGGGAGCTGAAGGCACGGTCAAAGAGAAGGCACGGTACATTCAGTATATACAGGTGAATAGTTTATCTAGCCAAAAGAAGTGCAATTAGTAATTCAGAACTCCTCCTCTCTCTGGAGTTTTAAAACATTGCCCATTTAAATGTTAGCTTTGTTGGCCTAACATCTATCCAAAAAAGCCTCAATTTTTGTTGCTTAATCTCATTACAAAGCTCAACCACTGAAGCATTGAAGGCCCTACAGATCTATGGCCATGAACTCAACAATCACTTAAAGTAGGAAAGTACCAAAACTATGATGTATGATGTGCCTAGTCAATTTATTTTTGTTAATGTTCATATTACTGCATTATTAATAGTTTGTACAGAAAGTACTGAGTGAAAAGTGCCCATAATTACTCTCTAAGATCTTTCCATGCAATAGGACTGGGAGATTCAAAGTAGAAACTACAAACTTCAGGGCAGAATAGGTTGGTTAAATTGACTGTGGTTCCGTGGGGAATCTCCACAACGTTCTTCAAAGTGTTCTATAGTAAAATATCAAACTGTTACAATGTCAGTGCTCAACTCAAAAAGGTTTCACATTGTAAGATAATTTAGGAAGACTAGTGGGAAGTGATTCGAATAGCAAGCCTGACTAATAAGAAGTTTTACAAGTGGATTCAGTGCTTTCTTTAGCACAAGTAATATATTTTAAATGACAGTTTTCAAAGAGTGATGCCCAGAAAAGGGTATACACTAATTGCTCAGTGTTCCATTTTATTCAAAGGGTTTTGCTTTCAGTGGCCAATTCCTTTAGAAATGATCACTAATAGCATTTCCCGCTTAGAGCCATGTCATCCAAAGAACAGCTCAAAATGTTGAAATCATTGCTGAATTATGCAGTCAATGAATGAAATCAAAGGCACACAAAGACCCAATATAGTCACTGCTGGAAAGAGGGGGACACTTTTAAACCCTTCAAAATGAAAAAAATAATTTGTTCACTCACTCCATGACTGTTTGTGGGACACAGCTATGCACAATTAGCTGCCACGTTTGACCCTCAAAACATACAATTCACTTGACAGTATATTCTGTGAAGCGCTTTGAGACGTCTCAATGATGTGATAAGGAGCTATATCAAATGCAAGGATTATTACTATAATTGGATACTGTACACAAAAATCAACTCCTAGTAACTGAAAAATCTATTTATTTTAAGCATATTAAGGTACAATATGCATAAGTGTAAGTCGTTAGTAAGCAGAGACCGTTGTGAAGGCTACCGGTCTGCATGGCTTGAGACTGTAGAATTCAGAAGTAAATAGGATTTCAAATGAGGTTGTTTGTGCAACCCATCACCGGTTGGTGAACAGGGATGTGGCTGATGATGTCAAGGAGGAGAAGCTTATTCGCTCCAACAATAGACGTGAGCAACCGGACAATAAATATTTCAAACTGCTGAAACTTTACAAATCGCTTGGAATAGAGGTCAGTGGGCAATGTGATCGTTAATCTTTCTCCACTGTTATTGACTTTGGCTCACTTTGAGCCTGAGTAAGTATTGAGATAAGGTGGCTCACATCCAATCATCATGACCATGTATCCCCTGAAGAGGATACACGACCATGTATCCTCTGAAGAGGCCACAAGCAGTCAGCTTCTCACAAACAAAATCTGGAATCTATATTGTTACATACATCTACACAGACTTCCTAGGAACCTTTTGACTCCAGCTGCTGCTGCAGTTGTTTCTAAACTGTACACCAGGATGTATACTATAGTAGAAGGTGTTTTGCATTGTTCGGGTAAGATTAGTTACTTTGAATGTGCAGCGAGGATACAGGATTAGTTTCCAAGCAATGCTACCACCCAGGCTTCCCTTCAGTTCAAACAATTCATCAGATACAAGATTGGCAACATCGACGCACACTGACAAGTAAAATGAGACAATTATTAAATAAAGCACACACTATTCTTACCTCCCAAAGCAGATACCTCTGCACTGTACATATCCACATATTGCTTACCTCTCCATTAGTTTCTCCTTATCCCAGTTGAAGTGGCTGAGAAGTATCCTTGTAATAGTGGCTGGATTCTGGGATGGAGAGGGAAAAGGGAATAGAGTTACACACTGTAATTTTTCTCAAATGCGAAGACCGCAATCAAGACTTTTCAGGTAGAATTGAGTATCATTTAGCACCAGTTGAATGTGTAACAAGGTGTCTACTATCAATCTGCAGTATGCTCCACTCTGAATTGCCCCGATACACCAGTGAGCGATTGCCAACAATTAGTTGCGTCCCAAACACTCCTCATTCCAGAGAATCGAGTTCTCCCCTTAAGAACCGAACAAAGACAATCTCATCAAAGCAAGTAGTGCAGCACAGTACACCTGAGCTTTATACATCCCCCTGGAGAATGCACCCAGGGACCACACCGCGGGGAGCAAAAGCCTAATGTATTTTCAAACTATTGAATTCCACTTATTGCTAAACTCACACCCAAATGGACCGCTGAACTCAATAGATGTCTTAATATACTTCCTAGCAAAAGGTACTCACTGTACAAGTAGAAAGAATTGCGGTTAAGCCTAACTATTTCTCTGTGAATTTAAGTTGCACTTAACATTTGAGTCCACACTTGTTCTATGGTCAGACTAGTTCTACAGTATTCACCCAATTCACTTGACTAACACTGCTCAATTCGAAAGCCTCACGCTGTTTTCTGCCACGAGTAAATGTTGGTGGCTGCAAACACTGAGGCCACACAATTTGTTTTGGTTATGAACCACTGCTTTAAGGCCCGGGCGATGCTTATATCAGTGTCCAGAACTGTACACTGTACTCAAGGGATAGCGTGACCAGAGTATTGTATACATTGAGCATGACCTCAGGTGTTCTGAACTCATTTGGCAATATAATCCAGCATGCTGAATTTTTGGTGTCTCACGCAGTTTCAACATGATGAGTAACAAGTCAACAAACACAGCTGGGTCTCTCTAAACTTCTCCCTTGGCAAGTTCAACCCAGTACAAGGACTATATTTGTATTGTAATTTTACTTCTTCATAAATTTACTTCATAAATGATAACTTGCATTTATCTTGCATTGAACTTTTGACAGTGACTGCGCTAGATGCATACCCTGATGAGTTTTCTTCACAAGGTCTTGGCTGACACCCCCCACCCAATTCCACAGTTCCCCCTAATACAGTGTCACTTGGAAATGCAATTAGCTTGAAAATCAAGATCATGTATGTATAACACCAGATTACCTCAGCATGAAACGCTAAGAGCACGATGCTCTAAAAACCACATTGGTTCAATTCATTATATCCAGGCAAGAAATTGTGGAAGATTGGAAGAAATTGTCCATCAAATCAGAGGGCAGTTAAATCCAGAGCTCAGTGTTTGTTCTCTGGAGTGAGATTACATTACAGCTGTGCCCATTAAATGTCGTAACGACAAAAAGAATACAGAATTGCCATCAAACCAGTGAGCGTGGCCCTGGCTCTCCAACCTAGGCAGGTCATTCATAATACCAACAACTAATATTTCTGTAGCTTCTTTTGTAAAAAAAACTCTTCCAAAAGTTTCAAACAAATTAATTTCTAATTAGGGGACAGATATGTAGCAAATACAGCAAGCAAAACAACATGGAGACTGCCACCTCTTCTTTGAAATGGTGGCACAGGATCTTTTAACATCGACCTGAATCACAAGACACAGGGGCAGTTTAATGTCATTCAATAACGATGTGATAAGGTGTTATATCAAATGCAAGGATTATTATTATATTCAAAAGGGAATCTACCGACTGAGCCAAAGCGTCAGCTTGCTTGAGTCAGTTGCTCTGGTCTTTGGATTCAGAAGAATATGGTTATCAATACTTGAGCTCATAATCTAGGCTGAGACCACAGTGCAATACTGCATTGTCATAGATGCTGTCTTTCACATGAGATGCTAAAACAAAATCTCACCTGCCTGCTACATCGAATGAATGAATGAATGAATGTTAAAGATCCTATAACACTATTCAAAAAGAGAAGGGAGTTTCTCCCGGTGACCTGGCAACAAATCCTCAAAGGAGTTAGTTATGTGCAAAGTGACTGCAGAATTTACCTACATTAGTCACTACACTAAGCAGTTATTACCGTGAAGCGCTTTGAGCTGTTTCACTGTGTAGGACTATAAAAATGCAAGTCATTTCTAAATAAACAATGCATGTATTATTGAGATTATCATGTAAGTGTAGGAGAATTTGTTTTGCACACAGTGAGTTGTTAAGATTATGGAATGTTCTGCCAGGAGCAGCGGTTGAGGCACAATTCATATAAGCTTTCAAAAGGGAACTAGGCAAATATCTAAAAAGGAGAAAACTACAGGGGTACGGAGAAAGAACAAGTAAATGGGACTGAAAGGACTGCCCTTAAACCGGCCAGCACAGACACAATGGGCTGAATGGCCTTCTTCTGTATGTATATTTCTATGGGTATGTAGCGCGAAGCGTTTACCAAAAAGAGGTAGTTTAAGATGTAGTGATTGTTATATAGGCAAATGTCTCATCCGGTATGAGCAATGCCTCACAAACTATGTAATGAGGAACCAATTAATCATTTCTGTCCGGTCTGAATGACTGAATACTGGTCAATGTATTGAGGGAGTAAGCATGTAGATACTAAACCCTCATTGGGGCAGGGGCATCCACTATTTTAATGATTGTTTGATGAAATCAGTTCAGAATCTAGGCAGAGCAATACGCCACATGCTAACCTTTGCTCAGGGAGCGTGGTGCAAGCAGCAGACACCAACCAGTTGTGTGCAAATAACCCCACCCAGGAAACATATTTCAGTCTTCACTGCTCAGCACACTTGCACGCAAACAAATAGATAATCCACCACATTCTCACTGTGGAGGCCAGGCATTGGATGCTGAAGGTGATGATTCATGCTGCTGTGAAATTCAGCATCTATGTCTACATCATTACAACTAGGTCTATATACACACAAATGTTCTCATTTAACCCTTGTGCTACAAATAGGTTTGCTCCAAGAGGCATCTGCAGATGGGAAAAATACTCCAGCTATATATCTTGGCTCATATTTCTGATTAGCCAATTTGTGTATCAGCGAACATGAAGAATGCGATATTTTTAAGCAACATCCCAGTGAGTATTATGCAATAACCAGTTGTTTATTTGGAATACGTAAAAGATAATGGGAAAGATGTTTCAACAGATGCATCAGAAAGCTAGAGACTGGCTGCTAGGCCCCGGGAGTGTGGGCAAGCAGGGCTCTGAGTGTGAAAGTGTGCAAACTAGTCTCTCTAAGTGCGAGTGCCAACACATGTGGTACAGACTAGCAATATTCAGAGAAATGTACCTCTAATTGTACCCTATGGCACTGAGGTAATAGTGAAACCAACGTACATATCATTTTATTGCATCTATTGTGTAAAAAAGGAAGCTTTTTTTCTAAATAAAACCATAATTACCCAGGCTGGAAGGTCAACCAGCCCTTCTTCAGCGTTCAACTAGAAGAACAAAGCAGTCAGTCAAGGCTCACCCACAACCTAGTTTATGCTCACAGTTAAATCTGAATACAGCGCGATTGTCTCCGTGGAATATCTACACACCCACATCCTGAAGCCCTTCTAAATCTGCATCATCACTCGTGCACAGGCCTCAAAATAAAGGCTGTTAGCCCACCAGTGCTTAGGACTGCCACGAGCACAGCTTTTTCCCACCAGGAAATCCAACTAAATAAAAGCACACTGAGGGTGACAGAGAGAAATTCCAAAATATGGGGGCAGCAAGAGTCCTAGTCCCCCCCTCCCAATACCAAAGTGACCATGCAGCCTTTTCGCGTTCTAACCGTACAATACAACTAAACAAAACCAGGGTGGAATATCAACATATGCAAAAAAAAAAACATACGTGGATGATCCATTGCTCAGGAAACAAAGGTAAGACTGTGAGATGAATATGAGGGGGGACTGGGCACCTCTTACTGTAACTTACGTATAGTGACATCTTAGAATTCCTAACCCCAGCTACATTCAAGATAGCCCCAAGACTCACATAAGGCACTAGTGGAATACTGGCCAGTTTTCTGGCTGCTGATAGGTTCGGCAAAAGCCACCTCACTTACCTGTACTTGAGAAGCAACAAGTAGTGACCACAGATTAAGGCACACTTTCCTTTCATCTAGACACTTTGACTTAGTCTATAACACTCTTGCGGAGATTGTAGGCTCAAAACCAACGTTGGAACGTGTGTTTATAATCCAGGCTAACACACTAGTACACTGGAGAAGTAAGTTATTAAAGATCCTATGACCAAAAAGAGAAAGAGGAGTCTTTCACATATCCTAGCCATCAATCCTCCAGGTAGACTAGTCATGCAACTCAAGGGTGTTTGCAGGACCCTGCTGTGCACTCCTACAAAAACAGTAACTGAATGGTAATAATTGTAAAAGTGCTTTTTGCTGTTTTGAGGTGATTTGATGCTATTTTAGATTTAATCTGGGAGGTTTTAATTCAATCAATAATAAATTCTATATAAACTCCCTGGGTGAATCCTCAATGAAAAGTGCCTCAAGTGAACTTTTTGTGGGAGCTATCTACCCTACAAAACCGCAAAGAGCAGCACTAAATTCTTTATTTCTCTCAAGAGGCCTTCAAGTAGTTGGAAGTTGTAGTATGGAAAATGGGGGAGTCAGGGAGATTTTCTCTACACTGACACTTATCTCAAGAATGCTCAACTGTCCAGTGCAGAGGAAGTGCAACATGTTTTGTTTCTGAATAGTCAATCCACCGGGTAAGGTGAAGTGCAAGTCTTGTGTGGTGGATGGAACACATCGATTGGCTAACAGCAGGAAATACAAACCATCATTTTAAGGTCAGGCCAATTTAGCTCAAGGTCCAAGTAAACAGAGCAGATAGCAGTGCACTGCCATTGCCAGGCCCATTGTTATTGCTCATCAAGCTGGACATTGATAAGCAGCCTCCATCTTGGTAGCCAAACCCTGTGCTTTCAACTCTGGAGATGAAGCACCTCCAGTAATGACACCTCAAATTCAGCACTGCTCACAAAGGTCACATTCAGAAAAGGGCATTGTGTAAATATATTATCGATCTTTTTGCACAAACATTAAAGTACAATATTAACCATATTACAACAAACTTAATTTCCAGGGTTGAGGTCCCACAGCACAGAGGCCTAGGCGATTCAGAAAGATTCAAGACAAAGAGCTGGCAGGGTTACAGTTTCTGTGGATCAGTGAAGCACAAAAACAGGCTGTGTGAACCACACAATCAGACATACCACAAGCAACATATCTCCCCAAGATCTGTGACCTTTCTGCACTACCGCCTGACTCAGGGAATGCTACCAAGAACATTAATGGGCAGGAATTGTCGCTTTCAGCTGTTTAAAGATCATTGCTGGAGAAAAGGAATCTAAACAGTCTCTTTATCAAACGATCTAATTCAAACAAAGTTCCACTGATCAACATCAACAAATTACTATAGCGCCTTTCACGTCAGGAGGACGTTCCAAGGCGCTGGACAGTCTGAGATTTGGACCCAAGTGGGGAGTTGGGATCAGAAGGGGTGAAGGGCAAGGAGAGGAGGGTGGCCAAAGGTGCGGTCGAAGAGGAAGGCCTTGAGACATGCCTTGAAGGAGCTATGGGACTGTGCAAGGGGAAGGGACTGTGGAGTGGAGTTCCAAAGGGTGGAGGCAGAGAGCCTGAAGGCCCGCCCGCCGATGGCAGAGCAGGCCGGATGCTGAGCAGAGGGAGCGGGCAGTTTGATATGGGGTTAGCACGTCACAGATGTCGGAAGGAGCAAGGACGTGGAGGACTTTGAAGACGAGGACAAGGATTTGGGGAAGCCAGTGGAGTGGGCGAGGGTGGGTGTGATACGATCATGGAGCCTGGTGCGTGTGAGGACACGAACTGCAGAGTTGTGGATGATCTGCAGCTGGTGGAGGGAGGAGTTGGGAAGGCCGAGAAGCAGGGCCCTGGTGTAGTCGACCATAGAATTAATAAATGTGCGGATAAAGGTTTCTGTGGCTTGAGGGAGAGGCAGTGGGCAATGCTGTGGAGGTGGGAGAAGGCAGAGCAGGGGCATGGCACGGATGTGAGTACAAATCAAAACAAACCGTCAAAAAATCTCACAAGCTAGGAAACAAGTATTCCCTCTGTTAAAGGATCGAATACCAAAGGACATACTTTTGCAATTAAAATGAAGTTGGTAACAAGTCAAATCAGAAAACATTTTCTAACACAAATGTTGCAAGATTGTCAATTGCACTGCTCCAGAAGGCCACACAAGCAAAATTGTGAGGATGCTTAAAATGGAGATAAATGCTAAGGAAGTAAGGGTATTAACTGATGTGGAGAAAAGGCAGAGAAATTAGATTAAGAGGTAGTGAAATCTCACAAGCAAAACTGAAATAAACTGGCAATGCATTCAAGGCACACCTTACAATCAAGCATAATCAGGACGTTAACATGTAGATAAATGTTGGTCAAATAATTTTCATGGGTTATTTTGTCTTGCTGTTTTTTTGGGCTGCTCAAAGTGGGAAATATCAGTGTCCAAGAAATAAATTTTCAAGAAGTTCCAGCTAAGGTTCTCTCTCTACACTGTCCCATCCAACAATCACTGTCCCAAGCACAACACGAGTTCAATGCTAGAAACCAGATGAATATTAAACCACGAGTTACTGAAATAATTTTAAAAATCTGAGAGAATGGGATGCACACATGTTTAACGGATGCATGAAATCCATCAATCAGAATCCTTGAATGAAATGAACAATATACTGATGCAGAGACCATTTTTACATGTTCGAGTTTAACAAAGGTTTTCATGTATGGTACACATTGATATTCTAATATGAAAAATAGGATTTCCAATTTTTTGACCTTCAGATTTTACCCAAACTGTAACAAGCAATTCAAACAGACTAGAATTTTTTAAAAAAAATTTTTTTAAATTAGTATAAATGCACCATGCCATAGTGCTGCAAAGGTGTGTGACACAATGAGACACAGACAGATAGAAGCCGCATAGAAATTAGAGGGTCCTGTTGCAAAGCAATTTATAAAATTGTCTGAACCTAGAATCGATCATCTTTAAGCATCTGCTTTCCCTGTCGTTTCATGTTCCCCTCAGTTATATCAACATCATGTCAACAACTCAAGCTTAGCAATGATGAGTGATCAGCTACTTGGGGTTTCCCTAGAGCGGAGGTGAAAGGAGGATCTAGTTGAGGTGTTTTAAAAAAAAGATCCAAAATAAGGGAGATATATTCTTAAAATTAAAACTGAGATGAGAAAACATCTGTCCTGAAGGATTCTGCTGCATTTTGAGATAGTGTCAAAATGGGGACCCCGTTCAAGTGGATGCTAAAAATTCCAGTGTGTTATTGGAAAAGTAGAGTTTCTCCCATATCCTGGCCAACAATCCTGTAGATATATTGGTCATTTACTTTATGGCTCCTTGGGAGAACCTTAGGTGCATAAAATAACTGCAAGTTTGCCTATAAATACATAGTCACTTCACTTAATCATAATTACTTGAGAAGTACTTCCAGATTTTCAACATTACAGGCTCTACATGAAGGATTATTATTATTATTAGTCGAGGTCTGGGGACTGCTACATTTTCAGAGGTGGACATTAACAATCCCATGATGCTATTCGAAAAAGGAGAGTTTGTTCTGGTGTCCTAGCCAACCATCTACAGATATAAGAACAGGCTCGATGGGCTGAATAGTCTTCTTCCTGCTTATATTTCCCTAAATAATAGCCACCTGAAATACCAACTCCCATTATTACAGTAAAATCGCATTGCGATGGCACCCCAACTACAATCCAATAAACTCCAGAGTTGGGCATAAAAAGTAGGAACTTCTGAGGAAAAATTAAAAGCAGAGTACAAAGGCAAGAGTATACAAACCATCTGATCATGTCCTCGTCGATCAGCTTTTCAACTTATGCAGCTTCACTCACTTGGAGACCAACCACATTCAATTATTATCAGTGATTTTCCCCTTTCCCTACAGTTCTGACCCATGTTATCCCTGAAATGATTCTCAAATAAAATCATAACCCCCCACACCCCTGTCCAGATTTGAGCTTATTCCTAAGACCCCCCCATGTTGTCGCCCTACAAACTGCCTTTGTCTCCAACTCACCAGATACCAACAGCTCTAAAACTTCTCTACTGCCTGCTTCGGCGCTCATTCATTGTCGACACTCAACGCACCCTCTTTTGCTGGCTATCGAAACACGCTTCCCTTTTCCAGAGCCCCATAGTTGCTCTCCCCCAAAACACTCCTCTTTGATCCCACTCCTGCTCTCAAGAGTATCCGACCCTCATCCGCTGCACTGAAATAGACGGGTCCCAACCCAATGAGACACCAGATCCACTCATACCCAAGAACCACCCCCCCCACCCCCTCATTCTCTCCCCAATGCACCCAGAAACCCTCTCACAAAACTCATAGCCCATTTGACCAAAGACCATCCCATTCGTCTAACACTCCCCGACCCCAGTACTTCTTTCTTTCATTCCCATCATCTGCAACACTCTTACCTTTGCATTCATTATCGCCAAATCCTGCCCCCCCCCCCCTCCTCTCTCCATTTTAAAGACAGGCCTACCTCGCTCTCTCACACCGACCCCAAGGAACACCGACTCCAGACCCATAGAAGAGCTCAAATCTCTTCTTCTCTCAGACACTGAGGAACCTCTTATTTAATACTCGCTCCATCGACCCTGAGGCGTTTGACTCGATCCACAACTATCCCCTTTCTCTCTCTCTCTTTCTCTCTCCATTGATCCTTGTGCCATCCGCCCCCTCCCTCCCTCCCTCCCTCCCTCCCCGAGCCCCAACCCTCCCCAACTCTTCTCCGGACCGGTGGTGGGGCCGGTGCCAACAGGTCCCAGTTTTCCCCGAGCCCCCCCCAGCCTTGCTCCCCAGGCCTGCCCCCCCCCCCCGCGAGCCTCGCTCACGAGCCCGACCTGGGGCCAGAAATGGCTAAGAGTAGGCCCGAGCCTGAGGCCTAGGCTCTCAGGCTTCTGCCGGGACTCGGCTTGGACCTGCTGCCCGCCACCACCACCTCCTCTCCCTCCCACGCACCCATCTCCGGCCACTCGCTGCTCACCTCGATGACCTCGTTGACCTCCCGGATGCACTCCACCATGTGCTGGACAATCTGCTCGGCGCTCAGGACCTCGTAGCGGTAATCCTCCTCCTCCTGCTCGGCGCCCAGCCCGCCCAGGCCGCCCAGGCCCAGCCCGCCACCTCCCCCGACCCCGTCCCCGTCCTGGCCCGGCTCCAGGCCCGGCTCCTGCATCTCCACCTCCCCGATCTCGAAGTTATCGTCGGGCTCGCTCTCCTCGCTGTACTCGTCCTCATCGTACATGTAGCCCTCATCCGAGTCCATGTCTGGTCTGGGGGGGGCGTGTGAGGCTGACTCCCTCGCTCTCTCCGGCAGCGCTACCCCGCAACAAAGGGCCGCGGCCGCCCCTCCCCCCCCCCCCCCCCCGCTCTCCCGCCGCCACCCGCGCACCGTCACTTCCGCCCCGCTGCAGCGCCTCTTCCGCTAGCGGACAGAGCCCTCTGTGACGTCATCCGCCCCGCACACACACCCCTCCCCCCTCCCTCGTTCTCTCTCGCTCTGTGTCACTCTCCCTCCTCTCTCGCTCTGTGTCACTCCCTCCCTCTCTCGCTCTGTGTCACTCTCCCTTCTCTCTCGCTCTGTGTCACTCTCCCTCCTCTCTCGCTCTGTGTCACTCCCTCCCTCTCTCGCTCTGTGTCACTCTCCCTCCTCTCTCGCTCTGTGTCACTCTCCCTCCTCTCTCGCTCTGTGTCACTCTCCCTCCTCTCTCGCTCTGTGTCACTCTCCCTCCTCTCTCGCTCTGTGTCACTCCCTCCCTCTCTCGCTCTGTGTCACTCCCTCCCTCTCTCGCTCTGTGTCACTCTCCCTCCTCTCTCGCTCTGTGTCACTCTCCCTTCTCTCGCTCTGTGTCACTCTCCCTCCTCTCTCGCTCTGTGTCACTCCCTCCCTCTCTCGCTCTGTGTCACTCTCCCTTCTCTCGCTCTGTGTCACTCTCCCTCCTCTCTCGCTCTGTGTCACTCTCCCTCTCTCGCTCTGTGTCACTCTCCCTTCTCTCGCTCTGTGTCACTCTCCCTCCTCTCTCGCTCTGTGTCACTCCCTCCCTCTCTCGCTCTGTGTCACTCTCCCTTCTCTCTCGCTCTGTGTCACTCTCCCTCCCTCTCTCGCTCTGTGTCACTCCCTCCCTCTCTCGCTCTGTGTCACTCTCCCTCACTCTGTGTCACTCTCCCTCTCTCGCTCTGTATCGCTCTCCCTCTCTCGCTCTGTGTCACTCCCTCCCTCTCTCGCTCTGTGTCGCTCTCCCTCTCTCGCTCTGTGTCACTCTCCCTCTCTCGCTCTGTGTCACTCTCCCTTCTCTCGCTCTGTGTCACTCTCCCTCTCTCGCTCTGTGTCACTCTCCCTTCTCTCGCTCTGTGTCCCTCCCTCTCTCGCTCTGTGTCACTCCCTCTCTCTCTCGCTCTGTGTCACTCTCCCTTCTGTCGCTCTGTGTCACTCTCCCTTCTGTCGCTCTGTGTCACTCTCCCTTCTGTCGCTCTGTGTCACTCTCCCTTCTCTCGCTCTGTGTCACTCTCCCTCTCTCGCTCTGTGTCACTCTCCCTTCTCTCGCTCTGTGTCACTCTCCCTCTCTCGCTCTGTGTCATTCTCGCTCCCTCGCTCTGTGTCACTCTCCCTCGCTCTGTGTCACTCTCACTCCCTCGCTCTGTGTCACTCTCCCTCGCTCTGTGTCACGCTCACTCCCTTGCTCTCGCTCCCTCGCTCTGTGTCACTCTCGCTCCCTTGCTCTGCGTCACTCTCGTTCCCTCGCTCTGCGTCACTCTCACTCCCTCGCTCTGCATCGCTCTCATTCCATCGCTCTGTGTTGCTCTCGCTCCCTCGCTCTGTGTTGCTCTCGCTTCCTCGCTCTGCGTCGCTCCCGCTCCCTCGCTCTGCGTCGCTCTCGCTCCCTCGCTCTGTGTCGCTCTCGCTCCCTCGCTCTGTGTCGCTCTCGCTCCCTCGCTCTGCGTCGCTCTCCCTCCCTCGCTCTGCGTCGCTCTCGCTTCCTCGCTCTGAATCCCTCTCGCTCTGTGTCACTCTCACTCTCTCGCTCTGCGTCACTCTCGCTCCCTCGCTCTGCGTCACTCTCACTCCCTCGCTCTGTGTTGCTCTCGCTCCCTCGCTCTGTGTCACTCTCGCTCCCTTGCTCTGTGTCACTCTCACTCACTCTGTGTCACTCTCGCTCCCTCATTCTCCCTCGCTCTGTATCACTCACTCACTCTGTCACTCTCACTCCCTCGTTTTCCTTCGCTCTGTGTCACTCTCACTCCCTCGTTCTCACCTTATATTGCGCTCACACTCACTTATTCTGTTACTCTCACTTTCTCACTTCCTCATTCTCTCACTTTCCCTCGTTCTCACTCACTTTGTTACTCATTCGTTCACACTCTCATCCTCACTCACAACAAAAACTTACATTTATATAGCGCTCCTCACGCAGGGTAGCATCCCCAGAGCGCTTGACAGTGGTGGAGCATGACACCGAGCTGGAAGGAGAGAGGAGGTGACATCAAGTCCTGGATGAGCGCAAATTTCCTGCAGCTGAAAGTCGGCAAGACGGAAGCCATACTCTTTGGCTCCCGTCAACAGCTCTCTTGCGGGTCTGAACTCCTCAATCTGAGCTCTTCCTCAGACTCACTGAACCCAAGCGCAATTTAGGCATCAGGTTTGGTCCTCAGCTTTTCTTTCCCCACAGTCCCTGACCAGGACTGTTTTTTTCCACCTCCGTCACATTGCCCGCCTCTGTTCGTACTTCACAGCCAACACAGCTGAAAACCTTGTCCGTGTGTTTGTCACCTCTCAGCTGGACTATTCCAATGCGCCCCTTGCTTGTCTACCCAGCTCCACCATATCAAAAATTCAATTAATTCAAAGTACCGCTGGCTCCCAATTACCAAACGGATCGATTTCAAGATCCTCTCACTTGTTTTCAAATCCTTTCATGCCCTCGCACCTCCCTGCCTATCTGATCTGCTTATCCACCCATTCCACCACCCGCTTCCCCAAGTGAAGTGCGCTTTATAAGTGCCAAGTTGTTGTTGTTGGGCCTTCAGCCACTCTGCCCACACCCTCTGGAACTCCATCCCACATTCCCTTCGCCTCACTCCCTCCCTTGCCTCCTTCAAGGCATGCATCAAGACCCTCCTCTTTGACCATGCCTTCGGCCACCCTCTTACTCTCTCTGCCCTCCACTCTCCCTGATCCCAACCCCCCACCTCCCGCAAGAGTCCTAATCCCTGACTGCTCAGCACCTTGGGACATCCTCCCAACATGAAAGGCACTTTACAAATGTAATTTTGTATTGTATTATTGTAAGTACAGTCAAAGAGGAAGGTCTTCAGGCATGACCTGAAGATGGAGAAAGAGAGGGCAAGGCAGAGGGATTGATGGAGAATGTTCCAGAGTTTTGGGGCGTAGTGGCTGAAAACACGTGCGGGTGAGGAGGCGGGTGGCAGAGTTCTGGATTTTGTGGTCATTATTTTCACGGCAGTTTGTGGGACATTGGTACTATACCAGATATATCCTTATTATTATAACAATGTTAAGGATTATTATTTTTCTGTAGACCTCACCAGGATTGGTGAAAAGCTGAAAGGATGTGTCAAAGTGTGAGGAATGAAATGAGAAATGGCAACACTAATGATTTTAACATTGTAACTAGCATAGTTTTTTTACTTTGAATAAAACTGTACATTGAAATCATTATCTGCATATCCTATATCAATTGGAAAACAAGAAATACCAAAACAAGCAAAATATTTTGATCAATAACTGGAGTCAGCCCTGTAAATCCTTACTCCAAACATTCCCTTATTCAGCAATACGCCAAACTGTCCAACAATATTTCTGAAATGAAATTCCAAAGAGTTTACATAATTACAATGTCACTCTATTGCCCTTCTCCCAGTGAGATAACGTTCTTCATTTCTCTTGCATTTTACCCTTTTTATAAATCTTCATTTTTCCTCCTGTTGAACAGTAGTTCTTTCCAATTGTCTCCATAAACACTTTTTCATTGTTAGGTATTTGACCTATTCCTCCCAAACTGCGGTACTAGTGGCAGTACATAAGCTGCTAAATCATGTTCCGAGCATTTCTAAAATCTTTGAAATCCAAATACAGTACTCATATAACCAATACCCATATACTCATATACACAACGTTAAACCCCAACTTTCATACACTCAATACCCATAAATACAAAACCCAATACACATGACTAAACATTTGTAACTCAGCCTGGCGCAGTTGGTTGTGGGTGCAAGTCCTATGTTAGGACTTTGAACTCATACGGTCTAAGCTGACACTCCAATGCAGTTCTGGGGGAAAGCTGCATTGTCAGAGGTGCAGTTCTTTGAATGAGATGGCTGCTCACGTGGACATTAAACATCCCATGGTCCTGTTCAAACAGAGAAGGAAGTTTCTCCTGGAGGCCTGGCCAACAATCCCTCATATAAAATTGGTCATTCACTTTGTGACTGTTTGTGGACATTGATGTACAGATATTGGCTTTTAAAATACACAAAGTCTCTGCACTTTACCGTAAATTCTATGAAGTGCTTTGAAACTTCTCGATGATGTGATAAGGTGCTCTTTCAAATCCAAGGATGATGATTATTATTAATAATTCAACACAAGACCTAGTAAATACCATGCTCCCTTCAACAACTGTTACAAAACTAGAAGCCATTACATCCTTTGTGGCATTTGCACCTCCACTGTGCAACTTCTTTCATCTTGAAAGAAAAACCTCTTGACAAATTGTAATGCAGATAATAATATCACTACTAATAATAATCTTTGCATCTGTTATAATGCCTTATCACGTCATCGAGACATCTCAAAGCGTTTCACAGATTATACTGTAAAGTGAATTGACTGCATATTTTTGGGGCGAAATGCGGCAGCCAATTGCGCACAGCAGTGTCCCACAAACATTCGTGGACTGAAGTGACCAATTTATTATTGTGTTTATTTTTCTCGAGGGATTATGATCAAGCGTGTGGAGTAAGGACGATTGTCCAAAATTTCACCCTGCCGGGAACCGAACCCAGGTCTCTCCCTTGCGAGGCGAGTGCTCTAACCACTGAGCTCCACAATTGCATTTATACAGGCCTTTCGCGTATGTCGTGTGATTACGATTAGTAACAGCCCTTTGGAGACTAAAGGTAAAAAAAAAAGGGCACTTTGCTAAATATTAACACACGGTATTGCGCGTATAAATGGAAGTGAAGTGGATCTGCTGGAAGCACGGGTTTGCTTTGCAATAAAACCAAAAGCTGCCTCAACTATCGGAGCAGCGCAGTTGCTGCCCTCCAATGGCGAGTGCTGGCAGTTACATTGGTTTGGATGCGGATGCACATTCTTAATAGCACAAGTTACT